ATGCTGGGGGCCCTGGTCATTCTTGAGGGCTGCAGTCCCTCAGAAGGGCAGACTCCCTGATGGGGGGACAGGAAGGCAGTCCTAGAGCTCACCTGTTTCAACTGCTGCCCACCCCAATGCCCCTGTCCTGTTTGGATGTGCACAGAATGGCCATGGCCTGCAGGCTTGGCCTTGTTCCTTGAGGACCCTCCCCTGACCCACCTCCTTGCACTCTGTGGTGTCCCATAAGCCCTCCTGTCTCTCAAGCCTCACTCCTTCATTTGCAGCTTTAAGGAGTTTCTCCCTTAGCCAGGTCTATGGCCACTCCATGAAGGGCTGTGGGCCCTTGATATGCCATAGCCCTCTGACCAATGACTATCTTCTGGGATTCCCTTTGTCTGTGATGGGGTGCTTTGGCCATAACTAGTATGAGGGAAATACCTCTGTTCACTCTTGATGAGGACAGGTCCTCCTGGGCAGGGGCTTTGAGAGGCCTCCAGCTCCTACCACTCCCCCCCCACCCCCTCCCCTGTTTTCTTGGGAGTCCCATCTGTGGTGGAACTGTTGGAGCTGGGTGGGAGCAAGGGGCTTAAGTGCTGGCTTTTGATGGGTCCCCGGCAAGCAGAGGCTGCTTTTGGCACTGATGGTGTCCTGCTTGCTGCCCAGTACCCTACCCGATGCACTGGACCTGAGCATGGTGTTGAGGCCGTGTGTGGTAGCAGTGGCTCTTATGCCTGTGACTATCAGCTGGCCACTGAGAGGCCAACCTGGCCCAGGAAGGTGGCCAGGGCTTGCTCAGAAATTTTCTGGCTCCAACCCTTTCCCTGGGCTCCCCTGTCTCAGAGGCTGAATTTGTAGCTGCTCAGTCTGTCCAGGTCACTGACCATCCACCACTCTCAGTGTGACTCAACCCTCCTGAGGCCCCAGGTGCAGTTATGGACACCCCGCTGATGCAGAAGTAAATTTTGCCTTGCCTATTGACTTCTGAATAGTGTCGTATCTTGTGACGTCCCAATATCTTAAAGATATTTCTAACATGGCCTTGCCCAAAGGGTCAGTTGGTCCAGGTTATTCACTGGGGGCCTCTCAGGGAGACAGTGGGTGGACTGGACAGAGGGCTCCAGGTGACCTTATTGCACACCTAGTTAACTTGGGCTGCTCCTGGCACTGCGGGAGGGTCAGGATGCATTGGGAAGTAGGAGGAGGCCTGTCCTACAGTGGTGGGTTGAGGGGTGTCTTCAGTGTAAAGGGTCTGGGGGCAGATGCCACATGGGCCCCAGGAGTGTTAAGATCCTTCCTAAAGTAGCCAGGGTCTGATCTGGAACACCAGGAGCCAGGTGGTCCCTGGGCAGCGGAATCCAGTCCTTAGTCTTCTAGGGGTGGGAACCCAGGCTGGACTCTGACTGAGGTCCAGGGCTTTTCTGGAAGCCCTAAAGCGTTGACCCACCTGTATCCCAAGCCTGGGCATAGAACAGGTCTTAACACTACTGAAACCATCCCCCACCCCCTACTGCCCAGGCCCCTCCCCCTCCCTCACCACAGCCTTGGGTGAGGGGTCTCAGGGTGATGAGTGTGATAAGAGGGGTCAGGAGTGGTAGACAAAGGCCAGGAAGGGTCAGGGTCCTCAGCCTCTTAGTTGCTTCCTGTCCACCCTTCTGTCCATGAGTTGGTGGTCAGGGTACGGGAACAACATGATGGCCCCCTGAAGAGGAATTGAGTACAGCTGGCTGGACCCTGTGCTCTTGGAGTGGAGGCTGGGTGACTGCCAGCATCCTTCTAATGTGCAGATGGATCCAGAGCTCCGCGCCCTTGAGGGTCCCCTCTGGTCTAGGGAGGGCTGGGCCCTCAAAGCCTGCCTCCTGACTGTGGGCTCCTCTGCTTCTGCTTGAGAGCTCTCTGAGGTGGGGGTTACTGGCCTCCAGGGATACGTATTTCCGAGGGCCTGACGTCACTGTTTTAGGAACTGCCCCCACGGGGCCACAGTCTGCTCCCCAACTATGGGTGGGGGGACCAAAGGGACAGCAAAAATAGATGCTACACCCAGCCATGTCAGGGGTTCATGTTTAGGTTTTTTTTTTTTAACTCAAATTTCTTTGATAAAATATTTTCCCATGGTAGAAGGCACTGGGAACGTCTCCTTGGCAGATGTTCCTGACCATCTGAACAACCATCCTGCTGGTCTCCAGCTTCAGAGGGCACAGCTACACCACCACAGAGACCCTCTGCTCCCCCATGCTGTTGTGTGGTTCCCAGGATGGGCAGGTGGCCCATCCTTCCTTTGAGGTCAGCCTCCCTGTCCAACATAGGTTGCTACCATGGATTCTGGTCCATCTGGGGTTCTCAAGTGCAGACACCCCCAGAATGCAGGCCCTGGCAGCCCAGTGTGGTGGTGTACCCCCAGCTCTGCCTCATTGTTCACTTCCTGCCTGGACCCCCCTGCACCAGTTGGGGCACCAGTCCTCGATCTGGGAACACTACATATCCAGTGGGTTTTCCCTCTGGGAACAGCACCAAAATAGCAGAAGGAAGGAAAAGAAAATGGAAACTCAGCCGGCGGCAGGAGCTCTCCAGGGAGGTGGCCAGCTTTGGCCTGGCCGGGGACAGTGGAGGCTTTGAGCCAGACCCAACCACCCTGAGCCAGGCCACTAGCACAGGTCCAGGGACCAGCCTACCTCCCTCTTGGAACCAGGATGGAGAGGTGGTGGGGAGAACGGGTCTCCCAGCCCTACCACCCCTGCCTGCCTACCAAGGGCCTGCTAGGTTAGTCCTGAGTGTGCCACACTTTGTGGATGAGTGGCCAGCAGATTTCTGATATCCACAAGGATACTGAGCCAACAAGCTCTGTGCTATGGGCCTCTGGGGGCCAGAACAGGGGTCTGCAGCCACGAAGTGGGGCCCACTGTAGGTCACTGTGCCAAGTCTCACTTCATTTGCTTTGCCTTGAGGTACTTCAGTGTCTACCTCACTGGCCCTGAGGACAGGGCTTCCCTTAGTCACTGGTGCAGAGAGATGGGGGCAGTCAGTGTGTGGGGTGGGCAGTCCCAGCTTTGGGCTTGGGTTGAGCTCCCAGGTCAGCTGGGAATTCTGCAGTGGAGGGGTTCCTGGAGCGGGTGGTGGGAATGTGGCCTGAGGTCTGCCCAGCTCTGGGAAGAACTTTCCGGTGCACAAGCTCAACATAGCTGTGTGGCCTGGCCCTCAAGACCCTGAGAACGCCTCAGGACTCCAGACCCAAGGGCCAGCCTGTACATGGGACCCTTGGACTGCGGCTGGACCAGAGCCACCAGCAGATGAATGCCTGTGCAGAGCGAGCTCCATCTGCCCTCCCTGCCCTGCACCTGCAAGGCTACTTCCCAGAGGACGCTTTTCTCACTCGTCTGGCCCCTCACACTGGCCCTGTGGGTTCTTGTGCACATGGGTGATGCTTCTAACAGCTGCATGCCACCAGTGAGGGTCCTGCCCCTGGACACACCCACCTGGCCTCTCTGGTGTGGTCCTGTGGTATACTCTGCTCCCAGGCCAGCACAGCTGCCTGGGCTCCTGTGGGATGCACCATTACTTAAGAGAGAAGTCCACAAAGCCAGAGTGGTGGCAGGGACGGGGCTGGGACTGAGGCAGCTCCTGAGTCCCTTCTCTATGCCCTGCCTCACTCAGAAGAATGGCCCCTCCAGGTCAGACCCCTGAGACTCCGGCCCCTTACCAGAGTCTATGTCTGCAGCATCTGAAACCTAGGCCCTCACAGTAAGTACCCTCAGGCCCCCTCTCCCAAATGCCTATCCTCTGTCCTGGAATGGCCAGGCACTACTCTCCCTGGCCTGTGTACTTGCTGGTTCCCTATCTGGATGCAGTACTGCCCCAACTCCTGTCTCAGAACCTCTGTCCTTTGGCCTGCCCCTCCTGCTCACCAGGGCAAGAGACTTGGCCTGGGGGCCAAGGGGCTGCAGGGGTGTGGGGCAGAGGGTGCCAGCAGCTCCAGCTGCCAGTAGTGCACAGAGGTGGGGTTCACTTAGCCAGGCCTGGGGATCCCTCCCTTCCCCTCACACTCTGCAGGGTCCACCTGGCCCCTGGCAGGAGCTGCAGCTCCAGACACCAGGCTATTGCCCACACGCGGCTCCCAGACTTGAGTAGGGGTTTCCTCTCAGCTACCCAACTTCCTGTTTTCTCAAGAAAACGTGGTAACCGAGTAACCAGGTTCTGAAAAGCTCATTAAAATGCCTCCCCAGGCGTCCCGGACATCCTGGGGTCTTTACAACACTTGCCGGGCAGAGCGCAGACAAAGAGAGGCAGCCGACGTGGTTCCTGTCCCCTGGGGCTCAACACTGAAGGAAAAGGCCCCCAAGCGCACTTCCTCGCAGGGAAGCTCCTGGCCCTTAGGGCAGTGGGGCCAGCGGGTCAGACTGCACCCTAGGTCGGGGAGGCCCAGGGCCTGCAGGTCAGGGGTGTGAGGACACAGCAGGCGCAGGCTCCCGCCTCCTCTTTCCTCAACACCGCAGGCGCCAGGTGCTTAAGTGCCCTGATGAAGACGCATGTCCTCCCTACCAGGTGGGCGGGCCAGCGGGGAGAGGGGCTCCCCTCGTGGGTGTGCGTGCAAAACTTAACACCAAACAGCAAAGCCGTGCTGTGCCCAGAGGAGCTGCCCGCTTGCTGGGAGCATGCATGGACCCAACCCCAGGACGTCTAGATCAGCGGCTGGCCATCACTGCTCTGTCTCTGAGCAGAGCCTGACCCTGGCAGCTGCCTTCTCTAAGTTCCCTGGGATCATCCCAGAAGCCCTCAGGGGCCAGAGTAAATCCCCCAAACCACACAGGTGCGGGGTGTGGACCCCAGGTGACAGTGATAGCCCCACCAGAGTGCATGGGGGTTTCTGACCTGGGGGCTAGGAGGGAGCGGAGGCAGTAGCAGGTAACTCAGGGATATTGCTCCCAGGGGCCAAAGCTCAAAGGCATGGCCTGTGCCCCCCACCATCCAGGGACACACAGTTCCTCTACCTCCCACTGAGCTCCCCAGCAGGAACCAGGACCCACCTGGCAGCGGGTGAAGATGTCTGCCTGGGTGACCCGCACGTTGAAGTGCCGGAGCACGGCCTGTGCTTGCTGCTGGGCCTTGAGGGTGCAGTTGACAGAGAGGCAGCACCCAGCCCCCACCTGGGCCCTGAGCTGCAAAGACAAGGCAATGAGCACTGGGGCAGGCACACAGCCCAAAATCTCCCTGCCCCTCTGGGCCCAACCCCATGGGGCAACCCCCACTCCCTTATGTTCCACACAAGCAGACCCTGAGGTAGAGGTCCCTGAGGGGCTAGGTCTGGAGACTGGACCTGGTGGGACTGAAGCCCCGGGGCGATGGGGCCCTCACCGTGAAGTAAGGCAGCCCGATGTCAGGACAATTCACTCCTCTTGTCTGGCCACCTGTGGGAGCAGGATCAGCAGGGTGAGGAGCTGTACTTCTGGGGCTGGGGCACCCACCTGTCTGCTCCTGGCTCTCTGCCCCCTTGGGGTCCATGGCATCCAGCTGCCCTTCAGAGCCCCCTGGGTATCACCTGCTTTTATGGATGCAGTCTTGGAGTAATGCAAACATTTCACATAATCAGAAACAAAATTAAAATTTAAAAGCAATTCTTAAAAATCTGAAGTAAAATAGATGAAACACAGGAAGTATTCCAAGAGACATGAGAATGCAATAAATTGACCATCTACTTTTAAGGAGCTAAGTTACAGATCAAAAAAATTTTTAAATGCAGCTTTGGCTCATGCTTGTAATCACAGCTACCCAGGAGGCAAAGATCAGGAGGATCAAGGTGCAAAGCCAGCCTGGAGAAATAGTTGGAAAGACCCTATCTCAAAAAAACCCAACACAAAAAAAGGGCTGGTGGAGTGGTTCAAGTGGGTAGAGCGCCTGTTTAGCAAGTGTGAGGTCCTGAGTTCAAACCCTGGTGTTGCCAAAGAAAGAAATCAATAGAAATAAAAATGCCCACTATAACCCCATCGTTGGTGACAGTATTGACATTGTTACTCTCATACTTTCATTTTGCTACTGTTGTGAGCATGAGGGTTTTCAGCTGAGAGAAAGGAGATACGGGTTAAAATTTAAGGTGTTAAGCAAAAAACAGCACTGAACAGAAAGCTTCCATGTGAATTTCTTGGACACAGCATGCTTTACACAAAAGTGTCTCTCGTCACTCTGCCCGCTGCTGTGGCTGGGAGCACCTCTGCCTGGCTGGCCTCTAAACACACTTCTCGACAAAAGGAACCAAAACTTTTGGGAAAAATGGCTGACTCCAGGTCTGAGGCAGAAAATGCAGACAAGGCAGAAACAGCACTGCAGGAAGCAAAGAAGGGGTCAATGACCACAAGTGCCATGTCAGAGGGACAGGAGCCAAGGAAGGGGCCACAGGCCTCAGGTGACTGGTGAGGCATCAGACACACATTCACATGTTCAGAATGGGTCCTTAGCTGGGCGCCAGTGGCTCACGACTGTAATCCTTGCTACTCAGGAGGCAGAGATCAGGAGGATCATGGTTTGTGGTCTGAAGCCAGCCTGGGCAAACAGTTTGTGAGACCCTATCTCAGAAAAAAAAAAATCACAAAAAAAGGGCTGGTAGAGTGGCTCAAGGTATAATCCCTGAGTTCAATCCCCAGCACCACAAAATTAAAAAAAAAAGAATGGTTCCTTAAAAGTATTCGTTATCTTTGGTGAATGCCAGACCAACTAAAAACTGTGAGAGCAGAAACTGTAAAATCCTGAAAGAAAACAAAGGAAAGCTTCACGACACTGCACTTGACAGTGATTTCATGGGTCTGTTACCAAAAGCAAAGACAACAAAAGGAAAACTACTGAATTTCATCAAAAGTAAATGCCTTTGTGCATCAACGGACACCTTCAAGAGAGGGGAGAGACAACCCAGAGAATGGAAAAAATACCTGGAATGTGCATATCTGATCAGGGACTAATATCCAGAATGTGTAAGGGACCCTTACAACTCAATAACAAAAAAGCAAATCACCCCATTCAAAAAGGACAAACGACTTGAATGGGTATTTCTCCAAAGATGTAGAAATGGCCAAAGAGCACACAGAAGATTTAAAAAACCTAAGTCATCAGAGAAGTGCAAATCAAATCTGTAACTCCCATTAGAATGGCTTTAGAAACAAGCGTGGGTGAGCATTTGGAGAAAGTGGAGCCTCCAGACCCTGCTGTGGGAACGCAGAGGGGGCGGCCACGGTAGGAAACAGTAGCTGCTCCTCAAAACGATGAACACAGAATTAACATATGACCCGAGAGTCTATCCTAGGTACACACCTGACAGAACTGAAGGCTCAGACACCCAAAACCATGTTCCCAGTAGCACTATTTCACAACAGCCACAAGAGGGAGCCAGTGCCAGAGTCCAGTACAAAAGACTGAATAAACACACAAAATGGTCTAAAACACACCATGGAATATTACTCAGCCTTAAAAAGGAAGGAAATTCTCACAATGCTACAATGCAGAAGAAACCTGGGAATATTATGCTGAATGAAACACAGTCAGCCCTCTATAGCTACAGGTTTTGAATCAGGAGATTCAACCAGACTGAAAGTATTCAAAGAAAAAAAAACCCCAGAAAGTTACACAAATTGAAAGTTGAATTTGCCATACACTGAGCCCCACGCTGAGCCAGCAAGGATGATGTGAGGCACACATCTTCACGGGTCCTCAGTCTCCCTCCAGTTCCCGAGTGAGGTCCGAACTGTGTGGTTAGGCCCGTGAGGGTTGTGTCTGCATGGAACATGCGGACCCTTTTTCTCGCCTTTATTCCCTAAAGAATGCGCAGAGCACTTACAGAGCACTCACGGTGCACAGTAGGTTCTCTAGAGACTGTTTAAGGCACCTGGGGTGGGGTAAGTTCTCCTTAAACCCATGTTTCACTTAAGGAAGTCAGAAGCTGCAGGGGTCCTGCAACCAACCTCTGTGGGGACAGAGGAACACTGTAACTCAGACACAAAAGGACAAACACCACATGACTCCTCTTACAGGATGGAAGGCAAATGCACGGAGACAGAATAACAGCAGTTACCAGGGGCTGGGGGAGGAGGAGGAGGAGGAGGAGGGAGCGGTTGCTTACTGGGTACTGAGTTTCTGTTTTGGATGATAAGTTAGGGAACGAGATGGTGGTGATGGGCAGGAGCATTGTGAATACACCTGTCGTCACTGAATTGTGCTTAAAAATGGTTAAAATGGAAACTTTAACCTATCTGTATTTTACCATAAGAAAGTAAGGAAAACAGTGGGGCATGGTGGCCATGCCTATAACACCGACAACATGGGACTGCCGCAGAGTGGTTCCAAGGTCCTGTCAAACTACAGTCCTAAGCCCAGCAGCCACCTCTTCCCAGAGGGGAAACACAGATTTCTTAGGGAAAAATGGCCCCAATTAAAGGACACAGCAGGAGAAACTGGCGAGTAGGAGGTTGCTTTCTCTTGGAGGAATGCCACGTACATTCAAAAGCTCCTAAGGACATCCACTGCGTGAAGCAAACAGGATGATGTCTCATTTACCAGACTGAGAGAACAACACGGTGCTGAGATGCTGGAGCAGCAGCGGGGGCTGAGAAGGCTGAGTGCACGTGGGCACTTCTGGTGCCATCCCCAAAAGAATAGAAACAGAATTTTCAAACTAATGGAGTGAAGGCAGAGTGAGGCTAAGAGCTAAAAGAATGTTAAGAAAGAAGGGGGAAGAATAGGAAGGTTAGACAAGCCAAAAGCACAAATTAAGATGTCACAACGAAACCCAGATTGTATCAGTGAGTGTAAACGAACTAATAAATTGAAAGGCAAAGGTTGTGGGGCTAGAATCTTAAATTCAGGTAGAAGCAGTTACAAGAAATGCACCCTGAGTGGAGCCAGGCCTGGAGGCCACACCTGGGATCCTGGCACTGGGGAGGCCGAGGCAGGGGCTCCAGGGCTGCGGAGTGAGACCCTGACTCAAAACAAAACCAGAAGAACACAGGATGCATGAGGAAAGGAAGGCTGAACGCTGAAGGTGAAAAAGTGACACATGCACACCAACCTGAGAATGCTGGAGAAGCTGTAACTTCAGTTAAATCACATTCTATGGTAACCCTGAAGGAAGAGCCAGGAATTGTAAAACTTGTGTGCACACACGTAGGTGACATCACTTTAAAACACTGGAGGCAAAGACAGACACAGGTACAGGAAGAACTTGAGGAGCCCACCAACAGCATATAGGAGTCGAACCGGAAGAAGACGTGAGCAGACACCTGGCCAGACTCACCTACAGAGTGTATGCACCGTACAGCAGGGGAGCCATTTACCAAAGGGCCTGCTACCTGGCTAAAAGCAAACTGTAACTACAGATCCTGCTGCCTCCCTGCTGTCAGTTAGGTTAGAAACCATTTTTAAAGGCATAGCTACAAAGCCCAAAGCCAAATATCCTGAAATCAACAGCTTTCTTTTTTTATTTTTTGGCAGTCCTGAGTTTTGAACACAGGGCCTCATGCTTCCTAGGCAGGTGCTCTATCACTTGAGCCACACCCCCAGCCCTTTTTTTGCTTTAGTTATTGTTCAGATAGGGTCTCTCTCTCTTTTCTCTTTTAAACTCAAGGACAGCCTCAAACAGATCTTCTCAATCACTGCCTCCTGAGTAGCTAGGATTACAGATATGAGCCACCATGCCAAATCCATCCTTCCTTCCTTTCTTCTTTCCTTCCCTCTCGCTCTCTCTCTTTCTTTCTCTCTCTCTCTCTCAACAGAGTCACACTATGTAGTCCAGCCCAGCCTCAAACTGGAGATCAGCCTCAGCCTCCTCAGTGCTGGGATTACAGGTGTGTACCACTGCACTCAGCTGAGAAACAGCCTTCTAAAGAGTGCTTAGTCAAATAAGTAATTATACTGGACATGCAAAAATTACTAGAATTAAAGCATAATGAAAGTTTTTGGATCACAATGACAGGATGATAGAAGCAGAGGCATCCTTCCATGTTCATGTCATAAACCAAGAGAGACTGAGAATTAAAGGCCTGAGTGTTCTGCTTAGAAACAAACCCAAGAAGTCAAGGAAGGAAGCTGTGAAGATAAGAGCAATTAACAGGAAGAACACAAATGTACGGGGAGGGTTAACAAAACCAAATACTGGTCATTTTAGAAAATGTTTCATTGACACATCTCTGTGACGTTAGAAAAGGGGCTGAACAAGCAACAGAGAAAAGAAAAGTGAGATGGTGCAGACACCAGCAGAGGGACGGAGGAGGCCAGAGGCCGGCAGCTGTCCCCCCACACCTGTGCCGAGTTGCAGGAAAGACGTGACAGAAGTCATTCAAGAAGGCGCAGACCACTAAGTAGTTGTGTGACAATGCTGACAAGCAGCACTAGAAAGTCCTTTCCAAAGAAGACTCAGGCCCAGGAAGCTCACCAGGGGGCTGAGGGCTGGAAAATGCAGAAAAGAGAAAAGAGGAGAAAGTCATTTATGAGGTCAGGGAAGATGCTAGAAGGGGGATCAGACCAGGATCTCAGACCACAGCAAGGTGTCAAAAGGGAAACACCCAAGTCAGGCTGGGTTTAACACAGAAGTGCAAGACTAGCTCCAAATTTAAAATGTTAATAGTGTCATTTATCACAGTCACAGATTATAGAAAACAACAACAACAACAACAACAACAAAACCCCTATGATTACCTCAAGAGCTAGGAGGAGGCATTAGGTAGAATTCAAAAAAATTTACATATGGCCAACTTGGAATCACAGGGAATTCTCAGCCTAGCAGAGCATTTAGAAATCCTTGTGTGTCATGTTGAAGCATCCGTTTTTATTTATTTACTTACTTTTTGGTGGTTCTGGCGTTTGAACTTGCCAAGCAAGCACATTACTGCTTGAGCCATTCCCCAGCCCTTTTTGCTTTAGTTATTGTTTAGGTAGGGTCTTCAGTTGTCACATGGGGCCAGCCTCAGACCGCAGTCTTCCTGCCTCAGACTGCTATCTTCCTGCCTATGCTTCCCACATAGCTGGGATGAGAGGTGCATGCCACAAGGCCCAGCTTATTGGCTGAGATGGAGTTGTGATAATTTTAGCCCAAGGTGACCTTGAACCATGATCCTTCCAATCTCTGCTTCTCAGGTAGCTGGGATTACAGACTGGGCCACCATGCCAGGCCCATACATTCCTGTTTAAATCAGAAGCAAACAAGGATGACCACCACTCACTTCTATCCAAGTCTTTGAGATCTTGACAAGTGTAACAAGGTAAGGAAAGAAATACATGATGAAAGGATCAGAGGGAAGAAATAAAACTACTTCTGTTTGTAGATGACATGTCTACAAAGAAAGCCATGAAGAACTGAAGTCTAGTTCAGCACACTTATGGAGTGCTCATCAAGGCTGCTGGATATTGGAGTAATTCACACAGACTACTTCAGTTCCACATGTCAGCAGAAAGTAAAAACAGCATTTTATACCAGCATGCAAGCAGAAAGCTCCTGGGAAGAAAGCTAACAAATCATACAAGAACTTTATGGAGACTTAAATAAACCTTCATGAAAACACCATTTCTCCCTGAAGTGACTCACAGAATCAAAGCAGTCCTTAGCCGCCTGCTTCCAGGTGCAAGAAGAGCAGATTGCCGTGGGATGGGGCAGGGTGGATGCTTTCGATCAGCTGCAGAGCTGCAGGATTCTACATTCAGTCAGTGTTCAGGGTTGGTCCTCAAGGCCACCCTTGGGTTGGGTGGCTCAGGGCTGAGCAATGGTCACCCTCATGGTGAAGCTTCATGACAGTAAAAGGGAAAAAAGCCTCATCAGCAGTACAGGGAGAGTTGACAGGGCAGTGCCCTCTTCCTGCAGAGTCACAAGGTGCACTAAGCTCCTCCAAGTCGCAATGACAGGTGTGAGGAACGTGTTGCCTGTCTCGGAGATTCACCAGACTTGGCACCTGGGGGTGGTCACTATGATCTTTTTTCTTTTTTTTTTTTTTCTTCAGTTTTTGTGCATGCTTGGCAAGCATCTATCATTGAGCCACACTCCAGCCCTCTTGTTTTTTTTTTTTTTAAATTATTTTAATATAGGGTCTTCTTGTGTAGTGCAGATTGGCCTTGAAGTAAGGAGCCTCCTGCCTCTGCTTCCTGAGCACTGGAGTTACAGGTGTGGCCACCTCACCTAGCTGAGGTAAGGTTTCTTACAGGGCAGGCAGCCTAGGTCCTTCATGTGGAGCAGAGATGGCAGAGGTGGGACTGTATGGCCTGAGCTCCCCCTTCTCCAGCACAATCAGGGGCCACCAGACGACATCATCACACCTGGAGTCTAACTAGCATGTTGTGAGGGAGTACTCCTTGGGCGTCCAGAACCTTTCCTATATGCATTCAATTGGGGTATGGAATGGCAATGTCTTCAGCAAGGCTTGCCATGCTTGCACCATGGCCTGCTGGAATTCTCTCTGCCTCTGGAAGCAGGGTCTGTTGTGCCTTGTTAGAGAACTGCTGTAGTGTGAATGGGGTTTGTGCTCCCACAGGTCCACATGCTGCAAGCTTGGTCCCCATGGTGATGAAGTTGAAGTGCTAGGACCTAAGAGGTGGGGCCTGGAAGGAGGTGGTTAGGCCATGGGACAACACCCTTTGAACAGACTGGACCCTATTAATTCCCTTGAGACAGATTGTTAGGGAAACAGTGAGCCTCATCTGATCGTGTGATCTCTTCTCCTTGTAAGCACTGCCACCCTGGTGCCATGTGCCATGTTGGATGCAGCCAGAGGCCTTCACTGGAGCAACTACCAGGCTCTTGACCCTGCAGAACTATGAGCTAAGTAAACCAGCAGCCATGTTAAAGTACCACCCTCAAGCACTGTTACAGCAACAGAAAATGGGCAATATGAGAACCAAGTCCAGAACCCCTCAGAGAACTCATCTGTAAGACTTCTGGGAGCCACTCTGGCACCAGAACCAGCTGGGATCATGTAACGAGACGGAAGCGTAGGGAATGTTTATTGTGAGGCTTACACACAGAACTAGCTCTCAGGGTTGGAGGTTGGAGGGCCAGGAGACAAGTCAGATTTGTCAAGTAGGCTATCAGAAGCTTTAGGCAGCTTGAATGTCACAGGCAAATTTGTTCTCTGTAAGTATGAGGTCTGTGATGGCACCACTGATGCCTGAGGCCTCTGGAGGCCACTAGGTTTGGCTAGGAAGGGTTGCCCTGGCCCAAGTGTCTCTGGTAACCCCACCCTTGGACTTTCTGCCCTCGGGCCGCCACATACTCAGTGTCTTTTGCCACACTTTGTGTAGTGATTCCTTAATGTTAGCTGCTTTTGCCAATGGCACAGGCTGAGTTTCCCAAATCCTCAAGTCCTGTTCTGCCCTCTGCTTATCTCTCTCCCCCTTACAATCAACTGGAAGCAGCCAGGAGAAGCCACACCTTCCACCCAGGTTCCCGGCTGATAGCTCTGCTCCTGCCTCACTACACACGCTCCCACCGCTGCTAAAGCCCTCCTCCAGCTCGGTCCTCACTTCCACCTGAGCCTTCACTGGAGTGTGCAGTTTCCTTGTATTTTTAAAAATTTATGTATTTATCAGTATTCAGAAGATGAAACTCAAAGAATGACCTTTACTTATCCACACCTCACTCATTTCTTAGAAGACAGATGACTGGGAAAGAGTCACTGGAGGGAAAACCACAAGGATGCAGGAGCTTCTGTTGCCAAAAACATTTTCTCCAAAAAAATGCCCTAAGAGGTCTGCTGCACTGTGAGGTCCCAGGTGTGGCCACAGTGGATCTTCCCCCCGTCACCCAGAGGACTCAGGAGCCAACCATCCTCAAAGTGACACAAAGCAAGCTAGGGTGAAAATAAAGCCCTCCTACTCTGTGCAGCCTGCACTGAAAACATAGAATTCATTAAGAGCTCGGACCAGGAGACCTTGGAGACAGAAGCAAGTTAAAAGGAATTTCAGAAATGGGGGTAAAATGGTCCCAACTGCATCTACCCAAGCAGAGCACTCAGGATCTACCCTCTCTGCCGCAGGCTCACATGAACAGTAAGTGCCAACTACCCCACTTCCCGTGCAGTTGGGGAGGCCCCGTGGACAGACTGAGCTCTGGCTGAGGCCTAAACACCTCAGCTCCATTGGCCCCTGGGGTTCCCCACATCCTACATCTCCTGACCATCAGTGCTTTAATGCCCACACCCAGCTTGTTAGTTGAAATGGGGTCTCGCTAACATTTTTGCCCAGGCTGGCCTTGAACCTTGATCTTCCCAATCTCTGTCTCTCAGGCAGCTGAGATCACATGCATGAGCCATAGTTTCCAGCCCCCATCCCTGCTTTTAAAGCTCATAGGATTTCCCAAGGCCCACATGAAGAATGTAAGATCAACTGATTATACCTTAATTACATCTGCCAATGCCATTCGTAGGAGCTCATAAGGAGCTGAGAGGATCTGGCCTGGCAGGCCCTATGGCTGGGTGGTCTCCAGCCCTGACCTGACCACCCAGGGGGAGCCTTGCCCTTCACCCTGTGCAGGGTCTGAGAAGCACCCACTCCATCCAGCTCCTACTCAGCTCACAGTTGCAAGGTAGAGGGTGAACCTGGCGGGGGAGGGTACCCTCCTGAAAAGCAGGTCTCCAAAAGGGTCCATGTCCTGCTGCCCAGTACCTGTGACTACCATGCTGCTCACACCCTGAGGTACAGATCTGCCCCTGGAGTGTCCAGAGGGCTCAATGTGAGCACAGGGACTGCTGGGGTATGAACTCAGGGCTTCATGCTTGCAAAGCAGGTGCTCTATGGCCTGAACCACACCTCCAGTCCATTTTGCTCTGGTTATTTTGGAGATGGGGGCCTCTCAAACTATTTGCCCAGATTGGTCTTGAACCTTGATCCTCCCAATTTTAGCCTCCCAACTAGCTAGGATTACTGCTGTGTTTGTATGTGATTTGAGGGCCCCAAAGGTCATGTGTGGGAGACTTTGTTTTCAGGGTGGCTACACTGGTAGGCGGAACTTTTAAGGGGTTGGTGAGATGCTGGGGTCACTGTGGGGCCCTGGCTGGTTCTGAGAGGACTGCAGGGATGGCCTGGCCAGTTTCCTCTCTGTCCCTCTTCCTGGATGTGACCACTTGCTCCATACACATTCCTGCCAGGAAGTGACGCCATTTCTGTCCTCACCAGAGGCTGAATAAATGGGCTGTCTGCAGTTGAACTTTGGACCTCTGTTAACTGTGAAGTAAACCTCTTTTCTCCACAAGTAGCCTGACTTGACTATTTCATTATAGTGACAAAAAATTGACAGAGTTCTTGTAAGAAAGGTGGCAGTGGGGGGGTTGGGTGGGGAGGTGTCAGCTTCAGAAGCAGGACAGACAGAGAGTGGAGTACACAGGAAAGGGGCCATGGGCAAGGAACTTGTATGTCTGCAGAGGCTGGAACAGGTGAAAAAAAAAATCTCCCCACAGTTTCTAGAAAGAGCCAGCCCTGCAACACTGTGACTTTACCCTAGGAAACTGGTTCTGGAAGCTGGTCCCCAGAATGTAGAAGGGTAAATGGGTGTCGTTTTGAGGCACTACATCTAGAGGGATCTGTCACAGCAGCCATGGGACAATATGGGGCTGTGCCTCAGTTCTACTATGGCCTTTGCCGTGGCCTTTGTCAACCCAGCCATCAGGGAGAATACCCTGTGCCTTTTGGGTTTTGGGTGAGAAGTCCCTACCTGGCCACACTGTCTGATTCTCAGCCCCTGCCCAGCACAGCTGGGAGCCATGGATGAGCAGGTGGAGTGAGTGAGCGTGGTGTGGAGCGTTTATGCCTCTGAACAACCCGGCCCCCTCCCTGCATGCTCACCGGTGGTCCTCATCATTGCCCAGCACAACCACATCCACACCCAGGCAGCAGAGGCTCTTTGCCAGCCCTTGCAGCGTGTGTCACATACCACGAGGAAGTCCCTGGCGGGGATCTTGGGGACAGAAACCTTCCCAGCTGCAGGTACCTGCAATGAATCGTTATCAGTGGTGCCCATGAGATGTGAGACCTGCTCTGTTCCACTTTCACGCTTGCTAGGCAGGTGCTCTACTGCTTGAGCCACACCTCCAGTCTGTTCCACTTTCAGAGTGTCATCAGGTGGAGGAAACGCAGACGCCACTCAGAAAGACTCTGGCGCTCGCATGGGGTGGATTGTGTGTGCACTGGAGTAAGGCAAGGGGCTCATAGGGATGTGGCCAGATGGTGCCCTGGACCTTGGTGGGGAGACGCCAGGCCCAGTGTCAGGAGGGGCCGCCATTGGTCCACTGCTGACTGCCAGGCTCTGCTGTCCTTTAACCCAGATGGCAGGAACTAAAGCCCCCTTTCACTCTCTGACCAGAAGACTCATCTCTGCATCCCCCCCAGTCCTGACGGAGGGATCCTAAGAGATTTCATACACCTGCCTAGGACCCCAAGGGGCTTCCACACACCTGCCCAGGACTCTGATGGGCTTCATCACACATCTGCCTGGGTGTGGCCTGGGCTTTCTGTGGGTGAGGTTTCTGGGACCCTGGTCTCTCACTGAGCCTGGGCCTCTGGCTTCTGCCCAGGTCTGTCAGCAGGTGGAAGCGGGCAGGCTCTCTGCACAGGGCTCGGTGCACTTCCAGCAGGCAGTAGGCATCAGCAGCTGTGTGGGCAGGGTCAGCTTCAGCTGCGGGATGCAGAGGGCAGGGGGTGGGGCGTGGAGAGGGGTCACTGCCTAGCCCTGCCACCCTGTGTACCTGCGTAGGTAAGCTGCGCCTCACGCAGCGGCCGCCGATCCCAGTTGGAGAGCTGCTGCGCCTCGTCCAGGGGCTTGCCCAACACCTGCTGCACCAGAAGGCTCAGGCCCCGTGGCCTCCCAGTTCCATCCACAGCAGGGGCTGCCATGTCCATCACCTGCATCTGTCAAAACAGAGCCCTGAGGAGTGAGGCACATGCCTTGGATGGAGGGTGGCCCTCTGCACTCTCCTGTGCTCAAAGGCCAGGGAAGCCCCTGGTCCTCCACTAAGCCAGCTCAGGGACAGAAGAGGACGACACAGTGCAGACACCTCTGTGGGGGTCCTGAGCCATGGCCACCTGCCCACCCAGGCCCTCCAGGGCAAACACCTGATCTGCTAAGGGTACTTGCCCAGATCTCAGTTCTGGGAAAATGCCCCATGCCAGGGAAGCCTTGGGATAGCTGATCCAGGTGGAAGCACTGCCTTCCTGGGGAACATGTGGATTCTGTCCTGCCCAGGTACTCCTGGGGGCCCTGGTGACCTGTGGCCAAACTGACAGAAATCCAGCTAGGGAGAAGGGCTGGGCAAGTCCTCACCCTTCAGAGCCCCCAAGCCAGCCTGGTGGGAGACCCCCATCCAGGCACTGCTCTGAAGGTGGATCAGCAGGAAGAGGGGGCCCATGGACAGGGAGGCCCTGGCCACCCACCACACTGACCTGCCTGTGAATGGGCAGCAGGTCCACACTGCCCTGAATCTGCTTCTCCACATGGGCCAAGGCAGGGCAGGCAGAGCCCAGGCTCCTCAAGTCTCCCGCCATCCCATAACCTATGAGCAGTGATGATCGGTGTGAAGGAAGCACGAGGACTGGGATGGGCATGAATTCCCCTGACCCCAGGGCCCACCCAGTAGTAGTTCCTGGGGGACTGGGAGGGGAAGGGACTGGCACAGAGGTGTGGCACCCTTCCCTGTGGACTGGGCAGACCCAGGGCACCTCATTCACCTAGCTTGGTGATGGAGGCATCTGAAAGGAGCTGCAAAACCACCCGGGAGAAGGCCTGTCCCCCTGCCCTCCTGGTGGCTGCGAGAGTGCGGGCACATCCAGCAGGAACACATGGCCCTCCTCAGCCACCTGCATGAGCGATGCCCGGGGCCAGCCCACCGCAGCAAATGGAGGTGTCCATTCCACATCCACACCAACCACCCGGCCAGGCTGTGGACAGAGAGGGGCAGGTGTGATGGGGTGGGAAGCAGCTGGGATCTGCAGGAATCTTGCACTGGGAGGGCCTGAGAAGTCCTGGGGGCCTGGCTCAGGCAGACATAGCCTCCACAGGCTCTATGTGGCCAGAATAGACAAGGAGGTCTGGCTGTCTGCAGGCTGAGAGTCCAGTCTTAGGGCTGCTACCCATGCCCTTGGGCAGGTTTCCATTCAACACCTCAGGACCCATTTGTAGCAGGGAGTCTGGGCTCCTTCCACAGCTTGGCATGGTAACCTCTAAGTGTCAGCACCCAGGCAGTCCCTGTCCTTGCCCTGGGGAACAGGTCACCTTCATAGTGGTTCTGGAGCACCCCAGGGAGGATAGAAAGCATGCACAGAGGTGCATAGTGTGGGTGGACACCAGAGGCCTGTTCTGTACTATAAAAGCTGCATCCTGAGGTCCTTACACAGAGGCTCCATGAGCAGTGTGCTATAGAAGCCAGCCAGGCACCCACCTGCAGCAGCTGGCCTCATGCCTGGCCAGGCCCTCCCAGGAGGCCAGGAAGTGGATGTTTTCTCTGGAAATGGGCAGTTGGTAGAAATCTTCCTTCAGGTTCTTGTGCGGCTCCTCCATCTTGAATCAGCCTCAGCTGTCCTGGGAGGATCAGAACTGGTGGTGTCCCTGGCCCCCACTCCACTCCCGACTAGGCCCAGGCAGACCATGGAGGGAGGCTGGAGAGTACCCAAGGTCTGCTCAATGGATGGAGGGCTTGGGTCTGCCCTTGGGTGCTCCTCCTCTCCTACCTGCTCAGCCCCCCACTCCACAATGACCCCTACACCTGTCTCTGCCCCAGAGTTGGGGGAACTCCTGGGCCATAGGACAGCTGATTCCCTGGCCTTCAGATATATCCAGCCTAGCCATGGATCTGGCCTCAGGGCTCTGGATGGGTGGCAGGCTGTGTGATTTGCAGAGTCACTGCCTTAAGGGCCAGGGACTGTCCTGGGCAGAACACCACCTAGAATGAGGGTGCTTACCTTCCCTGGAGCCTAAGCCAAACAAGCTTTGCAGCCACTGAATCTGGCAGCTGCTCCTCAGGCAGTGAGAGGTCCAGGGCACATTGGGCGACTGTGGCCAGGTCACTGTGAGGGGCCACCAGCTGGAGCAGCTGCTGCTGTAGCCAGGGGCTCTGCTCCACCAGGCCCTGTGGGGTCAATTATGAGGGTAGGCTGGGGGTGAGCTGTGCCCCAGGGACTCCCACAGATTCTAACCAGACCTGAGTATTCCTGGAGAGCCACAGTGGCCCTGTCCTACCCAAGGCTCAAGGCTGACAGAAGACTGAGTGATTAGGCACCCACAGCCCAGTCTCAGCCTTAGACCCTTCCCAGCCCCAAGCCCTGACCCCTTAATGCTATTTGGTTGGGAATCCCCCCTTCTACAGTCATCTGTCTTGGATCTGAAACCAGAACCTTCTTCTAGAACAGTCTGGCCTGCTCCTCGTCCTCTACCACTTGCTCTGTGCAGTTTGTGCAAGACCCTTCTCCTCCTCCTCCTCTCTGTGCTTGGGTGTACCCTTGGGGAAGAGGAGGAGGCCAGGGATACCCAGGCAGCATGTGGTCCAGACTGCAGGGGACCAGGCCTGGGTACAGCAGTGACTAAGGAGGCCCTGAGAAGCCTGGTCCTCATGAGGTTGAGTTCTCCTGTCCTAAGGGTGGTGGATCCCTGGGGAGTCTGAGCCCCTCGCCCTCATGACTGCTTCCTGTGGCCTCAGTGTTCCTTGAGGAGCCCCAGCTGGCCTTCGGCAAGGCCGCCTGCCCAGATGGCTTCAATGCCCCCAGCAGCCCCAGGCGTCAGCTTCCCCCTGGCCGTGGGTTCCCACGTGGACGACAATATGTGGAAACTCCTCCACATTCTTCAGGATGTCCGCTGCCCTTCCGGCTGGCTTGGCCTTGGCACCCAGGGGGGACTGGCCTTCCCGGCCTCGCCCGATGTGTGTGCGTTCCTCTCTGGTGACTCACCACCTTCCTCCCTGCCCTCCAAGGCAGCTTAGTACTGCCTCAGCTAGGTGCCATCCTCTGCTTGATAGGGGGGCCTTGCCCCAGCTGTGCTGGTCCACATTCCTATGCATGAGGGCCTAAGGATCCCACCATCTTCCCAGATCACTGCACTAGGGGCCCAAGGACAGCTCTGCATCCAATGAGACGAGCCTGGGACACCACCCGAGTACACCAGTATGCCCCCAGGGGCCTGAGTATGCTGCATAGACAGCTCTACACAGGACTAGGTACTGGCGGCATCCCTCACATTCATGTGCACACACATGCTCTCCCCCTCACACGCACCTGGCATGTAGCTTTCATGGAGTTGGGTGTCCCTGCCTCAGGTTTCTGTGGTTTTGTTACATGAGGACCCTACTCCTGTCTCTGCAGCCACAGAGGCTTCACCAGGCCCCGTGAGCAGCAGGAGAGGTCTATGGCTCATACTCCCATCACACCTGATGCACAGGCAATCCTTGCAGCACACATATGTACACATGCCTACACAGGGCACTGCCTCCCCCAGGCCTGCTCTCAGCCTCACAGGGATGGATCAAGGATTCCACTGGTCCAGTGCACTCAGACCATGCCTCATCAACTCACCTGTACATGGTCAGTCCAGCTCCCCTGAGACATGCTTTTCTGTGGAAGTAAATAGGAGATTGTTTCTAGCAGCAGCTCCAGAATCTGGAAGTAGCCTGGACTGGGGCGTCCCTTGCCACAGGCCCATGTTTGGCCTCCTCCATGGGGTTGTGGCTTAGCACACCTGCCTATGTGGCCCAGCATGGCTAGCTGGGACTTAGTAAACTCAGAGGGGCTCTGACCTCTAAGGGTCCAACCAGCCCAGAATGAGTGGGAGTGGCTCCAAGCCTGGCAGGTGGGTACAACTCTTTCCGGTTGGGCCTATGCCCAGGACTGGTTTGGGAGTAGGCAGTTGTGGGTTGGTAAGATACAGCTTAGGTTGTTGGTGTGGTTGTGGGCTGATGCTAGCAGGACCAATTTGGTTCCTAGCAGGTGTTTAGTGACTGTCTGAGGAAAAAGGTGCCTTGATAGGAAGACTCAGATGCCAGGTACAGGCTGCCCCTCAGTGCTCACAGCTGGCCCAAGCCTCCCTTGTGCACACACCTCCACAAACCGCTTGTAGCACAGCCACTGCAGGGCTGCCAGGTGCTGCTGTGTGACAATGTTGGGACACAGTGCTGAAAGAGAGGGTAGGTGTCAGTGCTGGCCAGGAGCTGAGTACACCCCAAATAGGGTTGTCTGTTCCTGGAAGGCAGGGACAGGAGACACCGTGTGTAGCTTTGCACAGCTTTCCAACCTCTACCCTGGGTCCATACCCTCCCCATGGCCTAGAGCTCTGCTCTGGGTCAATGCCACCAAAGGGGCCAGCAACCCCTGCCCCAGCCTCTCCTGGGATCTTGCACGAGCTACTTTCACAGTGGAAGCTCCACCATCTGGGCTCGCACAGATGACCTGGGGCAGCAGCGACTCCCACAGGCCTTCACGCCTCTTCTCCAGGGCAGGGCCTTCCTGACATTGTAGTGCAGGCATATGCTTCCTGCCTTCTCCCACTGAAACCTGAATTCCTCAAGGCAGGGCCAAGTGCTTGCTTCTGGGTCCCATGCCTGAAGCAGACCTGGCAGCATATAGCAAGGCCCGACCCACACACTTGTTTATATGTGCCACCTGCTTTGGTCAACCTTCCCTCTATGCCTCAGAAGGAGGGCACCCTGTCCAGCCACTGCTCTTCCCTCCTGAGGTGCTCTGTCCAGTTGTCCTGGCAGGCTGTCAAGTTCTTAGCAGGAAGCTGACTTCACAGACCCCAGATACCCAGAGGCCCCTGTAAAGTCCTGTCCTTGCTCTGGGCCTCAACCAAGCTCAGTTGTGACCCATGTGACTGTGCGAGCCAGAACCTGGGAGCCCCCTCATTACAAGGATCCTATCTGTGGAGCATAGCTGGGGTCTGTGCCACCCAGAGTGGGGCCAAAGTCTAGGCTAGTAGGGAGGGCTGCATCTTCTTGTTACGTGGCCACCAGGGCAGGGATGCCCTGCAGAGACCTCGCTCAGGCCCCCCTGAGAGGGTCTAGGAGCCACCACCTTCCTCATGCCATAGCTGTACCAGCTCCATGGCTGCTGGGAAGCTTTGGCTTAGGACACTAGAGGCCACTGCCCCTTTAGGCCTGTGTTCAACAAAGCCTGGTGACAACTTCTGGAAAGAGGAAGTAGGAGAAAAGGCAGAGGGAGGACCTAAAGAGAGTAGCAGAAGATCATACCCAAGGTGGTTCACTCTTAGCTCTGTAGCCAGAGGACAGCCAGCTGGGGAAGCAGGAGTGTCCCTCAGGGCAGAGGATACACAGGTCAGGCCTCTGAGTCTGGTGGGCAGACGTCCTTCTTGTACCCTTGCTGCAGGACTTACCGGGGGCCACATGGTACTGCTGCTGCAGACGCAGGACCTGCCGACTAAGCACCTTGGGGCTCAGCCTTTCCAGCCTCACGGAGGTCACTTTGGGGTACTGCCTATGGGTAGAGAGCCCCGCCTGTCTGTTACTGTTTTAAGGATTTCATTTTCATCAAAGTCACACACACACGCAATTTTAAAATTAATTCTGCAAAGTTTACAGCACAAATAGTACGCACTTCTCCCTCACCCATCCCACACCCGGTCATTCGCAGTCAACTTTGAAAGAGACGCAACTGCCATCACTTGGTTATTCACTTTTAGGGTGCCTCACCATCCTCCCCAAATAATAGTATCAGAGATTCTAGTTAAACCCATGCATTCTGCATTTACAATAGGATCACCTCAGATGTGCAAATGTGATCAACAGCTTAGCCACTCTCTCTGGCCTCCTTGGGGTTGCGTTTCCCACCCTGAGGCCTCTGAGTCCTCCCTCCTGCCAGCGCAGTCTGGATCTACTCCCTGCACTGGGCCACATATTCTGCTTTTTAGGCTGCAGTAAAGCCAAGCTGCTAACAGCATCCCAGATACTGGGATGTGAGGGTGGAGCAGTCCACGAAGGGCTGAATCCTAGAGCACCTGCCTAGCAAGTGCTGGATTGGGAAGTTAGTGGAGCCGAGGTTGCTGGGCTGAGATCAGGCACCCCAGTGCAGGCAGGACGGCTCCAGGACTATAGCTCCAGGACTGCAGTAGGGACACTGAGCTACTCTGGCCCTTTGTGTGTGACCTGTTCTTTTGGAGGTTTTAAGGCCCTTCACACGATACTGTGAAATTTCATGTCATCAGACCTCCATATAGATCTCTCCCTCAGCAGTCAACTGTACACGCCTGCTCCTTCCCAGCCAGCACTCTTCCTCTGGGAGCCTCTGGTAACTGCCCCCACCATCCTAAATCTCTCTTCTTCTCCTCCTTCTCCTTCTTCTGCTTCGTCTTCTTCCTCCTTTTTCCTCCCCCTCCTCCTCTTCTTCAGATGAGCTATTTTCTTTATTTCTTCATTTAGCTTTGCTTATATTCTAGAAATTTTCTTTTCTTTTTTTTTTTTTTTTAGAGGTACTGGTGTTTGAAATCAGGGCCTCACACTTGCTAGGCAGGTGCTCTACTGTCTGAGCCACTCTGGCAGCCCTTTTGTGCTTGGTATCTTTTGAGATGAACTATTTGCTCAGACTAACCTTGAACATAGATCTTCCTGATCTCTGCCTCCCAAGTGGCTAGGATTACAAGTGTGAGCCACTGGCACCTGGCTAGCTGATTTCTTTTTATTGCTGAATAATATTCCATTTTCTGGATGGGCCACAGTGTGCTGACCCACTCACCTCCTAAAGGACACCTAGCTTTCAATTTAGACAATTATAAATTAAGCAGTTACAGACACCTGTGTGCAGGTTTTTTCGTGGACTTCTTTTCATGTTTTTGGGTCAATCCCAAGGAATATGATTGCTGGATCGTATGGCAGGAGTATGTTTAGTTTCCCAAGTGGCTGTACCATTTAACATTCCTACTGACCATGAAAGAGTGTTCCTGTTGCTTCATGTCCTCCCAGCATTGCGGGGGGTGGGGGGGGTCAAGGTTTGGGGTTCCTAATAGATGTAGAATGGTGTCTTGTTTTAATTTGCAACTTCCCAGTGCTATTTCTCCTGCATATCTTCTTAGGTGAGGTGACTGTGCAAATCTTTTTGTCCAATTTTAGGTTAGGTTGTTCATTTTCTTATTGTTCCATTTTGAGATCTGCATGTTTTGAATAATAGTCCTTTATCAGATCTGTCTTTTGTAAATATTTTCTATCAGTCTGAGTCTGTCTTCTCATTCTCTTGATTAATATGTTACTTCTCTTGATTATTAATATTTTGTTCAATATTGGACCACCCAGCAGACCAGCCTCCTCCTAAGCTGGGCTCTCTCCAGGACAGGGCTGGGCTTTGCCTCCTGCTTGCTCCTCCTGTGGCAGTCCTGAACCTGACACAGGTACCCAGGTAAGAGCTTCCATGGGTCTCCTGCCCCTGTCAAGTCCCAGCCCTCATCCTGGGCTCCCAGGAGGCCATATAGCACCAGCTGCTGGGACCTTGTGGGACTCACCTGGCTACGTCCCCGATGTCAAAGTCGGGCTGGCACCAGGAGTCCATGAGGACCAGCAATCTCCTCTGGAGGTCAGGGAAGCCAGCCACATAGTGTTCCACAAGGTTCACCTTGTCCTGGAACAGCAGCGGTATGCTCATCTGCAGGGGAGCACAGGCTCAGGACCGAGGCCAGGACCCCAGACTCATCTCCCACTCAGAGTGCAAGAACCAGAAGGGCCTGAGGGTGATTTCTGCAACCTGCCCCATGCAGAGGCCAAGCTCGTGTCTGAAGTCCTCAAGGAAATGGCGTGGCGTACCCACCTCAGCCCATGCTTGGTGCCTGTGACCCTGCACAAGCACTCTTGCACACATGAGCTTTGTCCCTAGGTGATGCTTCCTGGGTTTTGTTTCTGGTGGGCTCTGTGTTCAACTTCATCCTCTTGACCAAGGGCTGGAGGGCCCAAGTAATTCAGTTGTTACCTACTGTGCTTACTAAGTTGGGCACAGCAGGATAGAGACAACGTGACTGGCAGTTGCCCTGGTGGCCAAGAGATGTCCCTTTGAGATGTGTGGAGTGTCTGCATGTGGAGTTGGAACGTACCCACAAGATTTCCAGGCTGCACTGGTGCCTGTAGGACACTGAGGAAGCCCCTGGCTGTGGACTGGACAGGTTGGCCAATTCCCAGCAAGAACCAGCCCCCTCCCATGGGTTCCTGCAGAGGAGCCTCTTCTTCCTTCCTCTCTTCCCTTGGATGCATGCATGCACACACACACACACACACACACACACACACACACACACACACACACACACGGCTACTCAGAACCCATACTGGATGGCGGCCAGGCCACAGTCCTCAGGTGGGATCCTCAGTCCCTGAAGAGCTCAAGCCTACACCCACACACTGGGTATGACCCTGCCTGGCCCCAGCAGGGCCAGGTGGAGGGGGCAAACTCTGCCATGTCACTGTGGAGTCAGAGCTGGATTTGCTGTCCCTGTGGGTACAAGGACTTTGAGGCCTATGTTATCTCTCCTGAGATTCCCAGGGAAACAGGATGACCTCTTTCTTGACCTCTGAAGATTGGAGAAATGCAGCATGCCACAAGATGAAGGCCACAGAAACACAAGGGCTGAAGAGTCCAGTGAGGTGTCTGATGTCCACTCCAGGGCAGGGCAGGGCTCTTGCACTGACTAAACCAGCCCCAAACCAGCCCACAATGAAATTCCTGGGCTTCAGAGAACATGGAGGAAGGGCACTGGACACAGTTGGGCCTGGTTGGGGCTGCCCTACAACAAGCAGGATAGCATATTATGCCAAAGCCACCTGACCACGAGTGACATTCGTTGGCCTCTACTCAGGTTCTGCCTTGCCATCCTGGGACTTGGTGGTGGGAGACCCTCCTCCCCCACCAAACCCTGTTTCTGGAGACCTGGGCTTTATCCAAGTTTGGACCTAAACAATTTGCATTAGAAAGACATTTACCTTTTCAACATCCAGTTCTGGCTGCAGCTTCAACTTCGTGCCCAGCATGATTGCCTGGCAACACAAAAGGAGAAATCACTTGTGCCTGGGAGGGGGGCCAGCACCACAGGGGGGCTCCCACCCTCAACACCAACATTGGTCATGACAAACATAGCCAGGGACTTTTTCCCTGTCCAACTGCATGGTCCCTGGACTGAGGGGCCTGGGATCCAGAAGAGTCTCAGAGCAAGAAGCTCCTTACTCTGTCCTAACCTCCTAGGGTGGAACAGGGACTCACCCCACACCCTGGTCCCCAGGGTCCTGCTCAGGGATTGCAGGGATGGTGAGGCAAGAGACCCACTACTGACCTCTGCAGTTAACTTATACATCTGATCCTGCCCCAGCTTCCCCCTAGTACAGGAGAGGCCAGCATGGCTAGATCTAGTACCTGCAACAGAGGGTTCAGGGTGGACCCTGCACCTAGAGGCCTGAGGGCAGAGTAAGAGGAGGCTTCCTGGGGACCTGTGGCTTTTCTGAGCACTTTCCACAAGGCAAGAGACCCTCAGCTTGCATATGCTACAGGCTGACTTTCATGGGCGAGTGGCTAGAGGTGAGGGCATGGTGTCCTCTGTGTGGGGGCCCATGGTCAGAGCTGCCCCCAGGCTCTCAAGGAGCCTCCAAATGACCACTTTCCTGAGAGAAAAGCCTAAGCAGTCTCGGATGGAGAATGGATGCAGCTTAAGAGGAAGCTCAGACTCACAAACTTGGTGCCTGCTGTAACCTTCCCACAACTGGACACAGCAAACACTGAACCCTGACTGCCCACACGTACTGCATCCTTAGCTGCTATTAATAATTCCCCTATATCGCTCTTCCATTATGAGCAAAAATAACCAGGCAGGAGCAGCTTGCACAGCAGCTCAGTGCCCCGCCCCCAGCAGCTCAGAGAGGCCCAAAATAGCGGCCTGGGAAAGGCCTGGAGGCGTCCAGGCTGGGGCCTTCCCTGAGCTATGACCCGGTGCCTCCATTCTGGCCCTGGTCCATGAGGCTCGGCCTCAGCAGGTCCCACCAGGAGAAGGGTGTGGGGAGGGTCCACAGGGCATGGGGAGGGGTGCAGAAAGGGTCCGCAGGGATTGGGAGGGGGTGCAGGATGTGGGGAAGAGCTGGGGGAGAGGTGCAGGGACCACCACGTGGGGACTGACTAGCAGCGACTCTGTCTAGCTTCACAGGAGAGCACTGGATTTTTCTGGATCAGAGACTCCCCTCAGAAGGTACAGGAACCTGAGGAAGCCAGGGTCCTGACCCTGGAGCCAACCTGGTCTTTGTTTAAGGTGGGGAGAGATGAGAACTGGGTGCTCCCCTCCCATCCTTGGGACTAGGCTCTCTAGGAACTAGAATAGGAGAGGAGGCTGAGTGGAGAGGTGAGCAGCCACCTGAACCACCCCCAGCACCTCTACTGTGTTGTCAGTCCCCCTGCAATGTCCTGAATGGTCCTCCTTTCTCCAGGAGCAACCTTCAATGGGCCCCCAACAACCTAAGAACCCTTCTGATTTGGGGGTAGGGGGTTGCAGCTCAGGTCTCACACGTCAGGCAGGCTGAGACACTGGCCCCCCAGCAATACTCCCAGCTCCCCTCCTGTCTCTGTGTCATTTGGAGCACAGACCAACCAGGCAGATTCCTGACCCATCTGGCTGGGCAGGAACTCTCCATGTACCTAGAGTGCCCTCTTGCGGCCAGGTGGCCTTGGTGGATGCTGCAGGGGTGTGGCCAGCATGCCTGGGGCCCAACACAAGGGAGGAGCCTGCCTAATTTCCACTCAGCTGAGGCCTGGTGCCCTTGCTGACCTGGGGGATAGGGGGAGTGGTGGCAGAAAACCACCTCCTCCAGAAAGCCACCCTGGCCTGGGTCCTGTCTTTGGGGGGTTCTGTGTGGCCTTTATTGTAGTCAAGGCCAGCTTGGGATGGGTCTCTGGTGGTTTGTGTCAGGCCCAGAAATGCAGGAAGATCACCTGCCTGCTCAACCACAAGCCACTGGCCCAACTGCTAGGCCCAGGGAACAGACACAGTAGATGGCAGGGAGGGCCCAGACCTCAGAGCCCAGAGGAGGGAAGAGCTAGGGACTGGGCTGTGAGGACAGATGGGGGGTCAATGAGGGCCTCCCTATATCCACTGTGCCTTTCTGACCTCTGCTGCCCTAGAGGACCAGAGACATCTACTAAGGGACACACAACTGTCCAGCAGATGGGCCAGGTATTGCTGAGGGAAGCACTGGTCACACAGGCCCAGGAGATTTCAGGAAAAAAATGAAGCAAACTCAGAGAAGCCAGGGCGGCAGCCCTCTGGAAGAGTGTCCTGTGGCTTCCCTGGGCCCCCCACTCTGAAGGGCAGGAGGGCTGGGCAGGTGCCCAGGCTGGCCAAGGCCCAGATTCCATGGTCGAGGCCCCCAGCGTCTATCCAGCCTCCCACCTCTGAGTGGGCCTGGTGCCAAGGGGGCCTTTTTTTTCCTTTTTCTTTCTTTCTTTCCTTTTTCTTTTTTCTTAAGCAAAGCTATCTTTTTACCTTGATAAGCTGTTTAAAAAATGTAAATAAAATAACTCAGCAGACAAAAGCAGGCATTCATCCTGCCCAGAGCCAGCCGCTGCCCTCGACATGAAATATCGCAGCACATTGAGTCGTGAGTCCCTGCTAATCCGGGAGGACAGGCCTGAATGCAGCCCCTTTCGGATGGGCGCGGCGGTGGGCAGTGGAGCATGCACCGCCTGCCGGGCGGCCCCGCTCAGGGACAATGGCTTTTCTTCCCAGAAGGGGCCTGTGCGGGACAAGAGCCCCTTTGTGTTGGGATGCAGGCCTCTGAGCGCAAGGGAGGCTCATTCAGCAGCCCCAGACACTCTTTGAAAGGCTTGAGTGTAACAGAAAACGCCCGAAACACTAGCCTGCCTTCCGCCTCCCTGCGCTCTCCCCAGGCACAGCCACCATTCAGCAGGGAGAATGGCCTTGCACCACATGCGTCCTCAATCCCGCATTGTCCCCTCATGGCCATCTTGGTTCCTCAGCGCCCTTCACCAGCCGTGAGACGAAGGGTGAGCAGGTGTGAATGGCAGTGGAGCCGTCGTTGGGCCCAGTGATGCCCATACATGGGCCCGCCTCCCAGGGGGCCAGGCCTGGGAAGCCCAGGTGGCCTCTGGGCCTGACACCTAGACCCCTGCAGCAGGGGCAGTGGTCCATCTGCTGTGCTACTGAGAGCATCTGAAGTGCTCTCCTTTCTGGACCCTGATACGATGGGGTGGAGGTGAGGCCTGGAATGGTGGTCTCATGCATGGCAGGCACACCCCAGCTACACCCTACTTTGAGGAGCCACAGGGCCACCCTGCAGCTGCAGCAGTGGCTCTGAAGGCCTCACCAATCCTCACGGTCTCATGCAGACCAGGGTTACTTCATGCTGTCTTCCTCTCAGAACCTTCTGGGTTTATACCAGAGCCAGTAACGCTCACAATGAAGACTTAGTCCACCTCAATCCCATAAGCCTCACCCAGAGACCCTCAGCTACCCAATCCACAGTTCCAGAGTGAACCTGCTGCCTTAACACCATACTCAGGATGGGCTGGAGGGTGACCGAGAGCCATCTCATCCACAGGGCAGCTCTTGAGTGGGCCAACCCAAACTGCATCCACACCTGGTCCTGTGTCCCCCAGCACCAGCACCATGTTCCAAGCTGTTGCTGTGAAGGTGGGCCCAGGGGCAGGGTGACACCAGCTCCTCCTGCAGCCCCCTCCTGTCAGCCCTTGCTAAGCATTTCTGGCTGGGGCCTCCATGCCAAGCTTAGGTCAAGAGCTACACCTGGCACAAAGCATGCGCAAGAAAGAAACAACAAATCAATGAAGTAAGAAAGGGGCAAAGGATCAGAGGAGGGCCTGTCAGCTGAAGTTGGTGGTTCTGCTGTGTGTTCCAGACCACAACACTGAAATTCAATTGGTCTGGCTGTCAGGAAAATGGCAGGGCCTTCAGAGTGTGAGGGTCCAGTGGGCACAGGGAGGCATCCTCGGCGGGGAGAAGAGGCCAGGCAGTCACGCCGGGAGCTGCACCCTAAAACCTTTCTTGGATCAAGTAGTGCAAGAGGTTTTGGGACCTAGATGCCTGGCACACGCTTAGCCTAGAACAGCCTACCAGTTTCTGAGAACCTCCACCCCGACCCCCTTGTCCCACACACTCCCACAGAACTATACCCAGGAGCCCTCCAAATGGCTCCTTTCTGCCCTCCTGAGTGTATGTGCCTGAGAACTGGAAGGAGGATCCCCTTGAGTCCCTCCCTCAGGGGTCCCAGAGGCATGCAGAGCCACTTACTTCTTTGAACTTTCCCTCATGGTAGAGGTGGTGGACATGATCCAGGAGGGGGTTCCTGTCTGCATCCTCAAGCTGGAAGATGTTGACCAGTGGCTCCACCAGACTCAGGGGGCTCTTGGCCAGGACCCCCACTGCACGGGCCTGCAGCTGTGTTAGCCTTGGGCTGTGCTGGAAAACCTGAGACCCAGCCTCACTGGAGGTGGTATCCTGTAGCCAAAGGCATGGTGCTTGTCTTGGGCAGGGGCTTGGAGGTAGGGCAGGCCTGGCTAAGAAGCCAGCACCTGCAGCTTGTGTCTATAGCTGGGGAATTGTGGCAGAGGGGAAGAGATGAGGTTCAGTCACTGCACATGGCTCTTGGGAGGCTAAGGGCCAAACTCATAGGGAGAGCCTTGGCCAAATGCCCTCAGCCTCTGCCCACCCTGAACAAGGTCTGTGAGCTATCAAGGCCTGGGCAGTCAGATATGGAGCTCAGGGTGCTGGGTGAGGGGAGGTCATGACTTGCATGGGCTTACCTGGACTGGCCTTGGGTAGGCTGTGTCTGCAGCCAGCGCTGCAGCTCTCGAGTGACCCAGGTCTTCAGAGAGGGGCCTTTCCCCCGCCAGCCCTGGCTGTCCTCCAGCATGTCCAGCAGTCCAGCCAGTGGGTCATACAGGGCAGCAAAGCCCCTCCAGGCTTCCTCTCTGAGCTGTAGAGACACATAACCTCATTGTCACAGTCCCCTGGCAAGCCCTCCCACCCACACTGAGGTTTCTAAAATTAATCTACTTGGAAGGTAACTGTTGCTATTCAGCCACCATACATGCTTCCCATGACTTTTCATGCCACTGAGATTCTGTTCTGCTCCACTGCGCCCCAAGGCCCTCAGGCGGCAGTCATTGTCCGCACTAATTATCCCATAAAGCCAGGGGCTTGTTCTGGGCCAAAGGGCTATACTCCCTGAGAGGCAGCCCCACGGCCACAGCAACAGGTTCACAAGTCACTGTCTGCCAGACATACCTGGGCACACAGCGGCCCAGCAGGACACAGGAGAGCAAAGAAGAAAGAAGAACTTGAGTTGAAAATGTCTGCTTCTGAGCTGCAGAATATTTGGGGAGTGGGAGCTGCAAGGAGCTTTGTGATGTTTAGGGCTTGTATGTCTCTCACCTGAATATAAGAGCCACCATGGTTTGGGGTTTTTGTTTTGTTTTACATTTTTTTATTAGCATATATTATTTGTACAAAGCATTTTCATTGTGACAGTTCCATACATGCATACAATGCAATTTGATCAAATTCACCCTATTACTCTTTCTTGTGTTCTCCCCCCCTTTTAAGTTTTTAACAAGTTTCATTATTCTATTTTCATACATACATGAAGTACTTTGACCACATTCACTGCCCCCCACCCTAATTACTTCCCGCCCCCAAAAAGAGTCTGTTTTATATTCCTGTCATTCATTTTTAAGGACTAGATTCCACATGGGAGAGAGAATGTGAGATACGTCTTTCTCAGTCTGGCTTATTTCACTTAACAAGATGATCTCCAGTTTCATTTATTTTCCTGCAAACAACATAATATCATTCTTTTTTATGGATAAATAATACCTCATTGTTTATATATACCACATTTTTTATTTATTGGTGGATTTCTTTATTGCTGGTTGAGTGGACTCACCTAGGCTGATTCTATACTTTGGTTATTGTGAATAGTGCTGCTATAAACATGGATGTGCAGGTGTTTCAATTACAGACTGACTTACATTCCTTTAGCTATATGCCCAGGAGTGGTACCGCAGGATCATATGGTAATTCTTGTTTTAGTTTTTAAAGAACCTCCATACTGATTTCCACAGTGGCTGCACTAATTTACATTCTCACCATCAAGGTACAAAGGTTCCTTCCCTGTCCCCTCCATCCTCACCAGCATTTATTTGTTATCCTGGCATTCTGACCGGGGCAAGATGGCATCTCAGTGCCATTTTGATTTGCATTTCCTCATTGGTTAAGAATCCAACGGGTTGTAAAGTAAGCCAGTGGCTCTGGCAGCAGCCAGCATGGGCTGTGCTTTGTGGGTACCTGCAGGCCACACCAACTCTGGCAGATCACTCTTAGGTGGAATTGCAAGACCCACAAGGGTGGGCATGTTCATGACAAGGCACTCAGGAAGCACATATAAGGATGTGCTTAGAGTGACCAAAGCTCTGAGAATATGGGATGACAGGATATAGACTTGGGAACACAGAAAATAAATACCTAAAATTACAAAAGAAATGCAAGCGTCAAAACTAAGACCATAGTAAGACATGGAAGGTGACAGATTTGAAAAAGAATCAAAAGAAACTTTAAACATGAAAAAATAGTTATCAGAAACAAAAACAATAGCTTGGTGGGTCCCTGAAAACATAAACATGGAGTTACTGTGTGATCCAACAATTCTACTGCAAGATACATCCACAATGATTTAAACACAGGCTCAAGAAAATATCTACATGTGAATGTTCAGAGAGGAACTTGTTCAGAATTGCCAAAAGCTGGAAACAGCCCAAATGTTCATCAGCTGATGAACAGACAAACAGTATGTAGCTCATACCATGATTTACCCATCAAGAGCAGTGGAGCACTGTATGCTGCAACACAGGAGAACCAACTGTGGGGTGGCATTCATGTGAGCGTCCAGGTTAGGACACTCCATATCAAAGGAAGGGAATGAAATCATCACTAGGGATCCACAGACAGAAAGTGGACTTGGGATGCTGGGGCCTAAGGAGGGAGGAGTGGGAATTTCTTAATGGAAACAGGATTTCTTTTGGGCTGATCAAATGTTTTGAAGCCAGGTGTGATGGCTGCATGAGTACTGAATCACCATTTTAAATGAGTAATTTCATGTTTTATATATATATGTGTGTGTTTTACCCCCAATAAAAAGTCAACATCTTTCCCACCAGTAGCCGGTACTCCAGTCCCAGCCTATACCTCCTATGCACTGGAGTCCAGACACACATTTTGGAAGATCTCAGCTCCTGTTCTTGTCATGGTAGTTTCTGCAATGTCAAAGGTCCATTGGGCTCCTGGCTCTGTGACCTTTCCAGCCAACTCCCCCCACTCAGCTCCCAGACCACTGGCAGTCACAGTCCTCAAATGGTTTTTATTCCCTAATCCCATTGTCCAGCAGTGACATGATGGTCCCTGTGGGACATCTGACCAGCTGACTAACTCTTGGGCTTCAGTGAGCTCTGCAACTGCCTAAATCCTCTGACACATGCTTCCAAGGGCATCCTCAGATTTGAGTGGTACCAAAAACCACTAAAGGACTTGTTAAAACACAGACCCACCCTGACTCTGGAGCAGAGAGTAGGGCTAGGGTTTGCCCCATTGAGGATTTTTGAGTCCCCAGAAGATGAACCACACAGTAGGGTGTTTGGTAGGAATGCCCAAACTCATGAACTCCCATTTCTACTATGCCCCACCATTGTGCTCTGAGGAACACCAAATACCTAATCACACTTTCCTTCTCCACCGGGCTTCTTGCCATGCTCCAACTCCTTGTCAACCAACTCCCATTAGCATCCCACATGTCCTAACCCTGACCCTGAGCCTGAGCCTACCTCATCCCTAACGGTGACACTAACTCTAATCCTAGCCTTAACCACTCATAACCTTTAACTCAATCTAACTATAATGATGATCTAACCCTAACCCTAATCTTAATCACTCTCCTCTGAGGAATATCAAACATCCACCAAAGTCTTCATGTCGGCCCTCTTCCCTTCTCCATACTGGTTTCTCACCAAACCTCCAGTTTGTCTACCACCAGATCCCATCAGACTGCAGCGCACCCAAATCCTAACCCTAATACTGACCTTAACTATAACCTTCTCCTCACTCCCATCAGCATCCAAAATGCCCGAAATGCAACCTTAGCCCTAACCCTAACTCCTGATTCTACCTCTAAATCCTGACCCTAAGCCTAACCCTTTATCTTAGAAGGAAAGCCCCAGACCCCAGACCCCTCCCCTTCTACTTCTTTCCTTATATGGCAAACTCTCCCAGGAGTTCTCCCAAACCCAGCCTCCCACTTATGGGGTCCCCTGCAGCTGGTTCTTGGATAGGGCCTGAGCCTCTCAGGATGCCCCAAACACCCTCATCTTCAAGGCTCTGGTCCTACCCAGAGACTGACCATCTCATATTTACCCTGAATGTCTAAGCCCTAAGCCCCCAAATCTCCATACCCCACACCTTGCAGGCCCCAACCCTCCAAGTAGTGTTCTGTGACCTGTATACCTGTCTCACCTGGCCTGGAACTTCTGGGACAGCCCTATCTCAGATACCAGGCCCCTGGCTGTTCCCACAATCTTGCTCTGCAATTGGCCAGGCCAGGACACCACCAACTTGTGGGCCACTGCAGAGCCCCACCCCATCCCTCTGCTCCAGCTCCTGAATGTCACAGATGTGCAAGCCTGGGCACTGGGCAGCATGGTGCTCTTCTGCTTATGTGACTCAAGACAACCTCTGGTGTCTGAAATGTGAGTGGGGTTACATGGAAACCTTGTGTCAACCACCAGGAGCCACATCGTCCAGCACTTGGACAAGTGACCAGAGTGAGCCTCCACATGAGCAAAAAGCACAGCCTTGAGTTGGTCAAAGGAGATACCAACACAAAAATCAGCAAACAGAGAAGAAAAAGATGAAGAAAATCTGCACATCAAATTCACACTTTGTGTGGTATGTGAGAAAGGAGAGAGAGAAAGGACAGGCTGGGCACTGGTGGCTCATGACTGTAATCCTAGCTACTCAGGAGGCAGAGATCAGGAGGATTGCTGTTTGAAGCCAGTCCAGGCAAATAGTTGGCAAGACTATCTCGAAAAAAACCCATCACAAAAAAGGGCTGGTGGAGTGGCTTAAGGTATAAGGTATAGGCCTTGAGTTCAAACCCCAGTACCGCAAAAAAAAGAAAGAAAAAGAAAGGATAGCCTGTGCCTGGGACAGGAGGATTCAGAAATGGCAAGGGAGCCAAAGGCAGTGAAGACAGAACAGGATCCCAGGACAGAACAGAAGTGATGAAACAGAAACTGAGAAGTCATTTGTGGGCACTGTAGCTCTTTGTGAAGCTGAGCAACACAAACCCTGTGGCAGAAAAGAGCAAACTGCAGGCAAGGCTGGGGGAAGGTGTAGACCCTGAATCTGAACATCTTGAGATAGCCATGGACAACCTCAGACCAGCATCAGGCTAGCCACAACTCCAAGGAAACAGAGGCTTCCGTGGCCAGTCTCTCCTGTGCTGTGTGGGAGCTATTAAAACTGCTAACTTGGTGGGCTCCACTACAGCCTCTCAAGCTCAGCACCACCAGGCCCATCACTGCCCCCGCCCAACCCTCCCCTGCCCAGTCCCCACCCTGCAAAGTCCTTTGCCGAGATCTCCCTGCCCTGGACACCTGCCTCAGTGGCCTCATGTGGCACAAGAGGCCTTGTCCATGCAGTCATTTGTGGACCCCAGGCCTGGGCAGCACTGATGTCTGCTGCATCCCTTCTAAAATGAGTGGCTTCCTGGCCAGTCACCTCATGGCCAGTTCTGCAGCTGTGACAGGTCTATGAGTAGGGACCCACAGTCAGTGTCCACTCACCTGCTGCAGCTCCTTTGTAGACCACAGCTTCCACAGATTCTGGAGGAGCAGCAGGGGATCCTGACCTGTGGGAACAAGGTAAAAGCTGTAGAGTCACTAGGAAGCCCCTCCCCTGCCCCCAGGTCTGGAGACCGCTCTAGACCCCAGGTGGGGAGCTCCTCAGAACACACAGTATGTCCAGCAGGTGTGACAGCATCCACAGCATCCATAGCACCCACAATGCCCAAGGCTTCCCGTGGCTACTCTGGAGACAGCAGGAAACTGCCCAGCAACTGATTCATTGCTGGCCATCCAGCAGGGCCAAATATCCCAAGGTGACTGCCCCTCACAGGACTCCAAGCTTCTCTCTGTTTCTGGGCAGGCCCCACCCTCCAAGCACAGTGCTATGACTCCCCACCACCAGGCTTCATGCAGGGACAGTGAAGACACAACACACGGGGTGTTGTGCCAAAAAGCCAGGTTGATTTAACAATACAAAATCCTCAGTGAATTCAGACCACAACTGCAATTAAGGAGAAAACCACAGGACTGTTTCATCAGCCACAGAGAAACAGTCCATAAAATCCAGCTTGTCTTCATGATTTAGGAAGTAACTCGACAAACCAGGAACAGAAGGGAACATCCTGATCTGGATAAATGGCACCTACAGAAAACCACTGCAGCCAAGCACCAGTGGCTCACGCCTTTAATCCTAGCTACTTGGCAGAGACCAGGAGGATAGTGGTTTGAGGCCAGCCCAGGCAAATAGTTCACAGACCCTATCTCCAAAATAACCAGAGCAAAATGGACTGGAGGTGTGGCTCAAGTAGTAAAGTATCTGCTTTGCAAATGCAAAGTTCTGAGTTCAAATCCCAGTTCACACACACACACACAAAATCACAAACATGGAACTCAACACCAGTGTTCCTAACGAGAAAGAAACAGTGCGACCCAGAGCAGCAAGAGGAAAAATTAAAGACATATAACTTGGGAAGGAGCAAATTAAGATATCATAAGTCACTGACAGTATGATGAATTATGTAGAAAGCCACAAAGAATCTAATGATGAGTTAGATTTAATCCACAAGTGTAACACAGACGCTCAACACGAGGACAGTATGAAAAACCAGTTGTAACTGGGCGCTGGCTACACACCTGCAATCCTCACTACTCAGGAGGAGAGATCAGGAGGATTGCAATTCAAAGCTAGCCCAGGGGAAATAGTTTGCAAGACCCTATCTCGAAAAACCCTTCTTAAAAAAAGGTTTGGTGGAGTGGCTCAAGGCGTAAGCCCTGAGTTCAAACCCCAGTACTGCAAAAAAAAAAAAAAAAATTGCTTCCTAAGCTGGAAAGAAACAGTAAAAAAAATTAAAAAAAAAAAATCACAGCAGCACAAAGCCATTAAATTTCTTGGGGGTAAATCTAACAAGAGAAGCTCATGCAAAAATCCATAGAACATTATTTAGAAAACCCTAAGTATAGGAAGGCCAGACCATGTTACCCACAAAGCTGTTAATTCTCTTGAACATGATGGATAGATTCCATACTATCTCAATGAAAACAGCAATGGGTTGTGTCTGTGCACACACTGTACTGTGTGCACACGTATGTGCGTGCATGTGCTTGCTTGTGCTTGTGTGTGCCACTGTGTGTGGGGTGAAGATGCTGCTGAGTCCCAAATCCAAGCAGAGCCACCGACAGTGGAGCAGAGCCAAGACCCTAAACCATGGCTGACCACACACAGATCCTCAATGCATGATCAGGATGGCTCCACAGGGTCCCCAGGGAAACTAGATCTTTATTCAAACTTGATCACTGCCTCAAACCCTACACAGATGTCAATGAAAATATCTGGTTGACCTTGGAGTAGGGAAAGGTTGAAAGGACACTGGTGACATCAAGAATCCAGCAAATCAGAAAGAAGGTGCCCACAGGAAATTGGGTGAGGGTGTGGATGGCACAGCAATGATGTCCATCTTACCAGGAATCCAGGTGTCCAATACTTCAGAAAAAATTAAGACTAATGTTGCCAAGGGCTGGACAGTATGGGTTCCAGGCCCCTCCACAGCTGGCCAGTGCCAAACAACACACCACACGAAGTGCCCAGTGTCACCATGAACTTAGGATGGATGCACGTGTGGCCCAAAATCCACTCCTAGGTGATTAGTGAGGGCACAGACAGCAGAAAAGCTCTGTCCAGAAAAGGTGGTTTTGGACTGGGAAATACCCAACGCCCATTCTGGAACCACAGAGCCTATGGATCACAGGAAGGACATGCTCCTGCTGTATGTGCCTGGGAGATGGACCAACCCACTCACCACACCCAAATCCCAGACACAGCTGCAGACAGTCCTAAGAGGTGTCTGGGTAGCCAAGAGGGCAGTGATCCCAGGGACACATCGGGAAAAACAGGGGTTGGGGGCACATATTCTGTGGGCACCCATGATCATCCACTGAGCTGGGTTTGTTTGTTGGTTATGGGTTGTACTTCACAATGAGATAGGTTTTCTTTCATCAGTCTCATATCTGGAAGATGAAGCAGTTCTGTGGACAGATGGTGTGACAGCTGTAGAACAGTGTCTGCACTTTGTGTCTTGAGCTGTGCACAAGAAATGGTTAGGGCATAGTGTATTTCAGCACAAATAAAAAACAGAAGCAGGGCAGTCTTATTTTTTAAGTTCATGGGTTCATCTCTACCTTTCTGGGTGTGAAGTCTGAGGCTGACCAACCAAGTCCCTGAGTTGGTGTCTATGGTCTTTACTTCCCACTCTTCCCTATCCTCTCCCTCCAGCTTAGGAAGCAATTTTTTTTTTTCAGTACTAGGGTTTGAACTCAGGGCCTACACCTTGAGCCACTACACCAAACCTTTTTTTAAGAAGGGTTTTTTCGAGATAGGGTCTTGCAAACTATTTCCCTGGGCTAGGCTTTGCCTCACCCATCATCTCTACCCACCTCTCATCCCACCTGAGTCTCTGGAGATTTCTAAAGAATCTTGCTACTTCCCCCTGTGCCCTGCGGACTGTGCCCCACCAAGCAGCTGGCAGGACCCCTGGAAAACCTCCTAGAAACATAAACAGGCCATGTCTTGTTAACCACCCCAGTTTTTTGGAGTCAAAGCCAAAGCCCACAGCCTCCAGCCTCCACTCTATTTGTTTGTTTTCTTTTTGGTGATACTGGGGTTTGAACCCAGCCTCCACTTTGTTGTTGGACACCCAACCCTACAGCTGAGGATGCCCCTCCCTTAACTTTCTCCTTGCCTGGACCCCTCCAACCTCTTCCTCCTAACATTTCCCTGTGGGCCTGGTCAGTACTATCATCCCTCCTGACTCTCTGAGCCCCAGGATTAGTATTTAAGGATTGTCCAAAGATTGTTCAAGGTTAGGGCCCATAGCATGACAGGTGCCTAATAGGTGGCCACTCCAGCAGTCAGGGCCTGTCATACACGCACACACAGTGTTTACCAGCCCAGGTGACTGTGGGAGACCCAGAAGGCCCTCAAATCTCTCGAGTCAAAGCTGGAGGGGGTGCTGCAGGGACAGAGCTCCTTACACAAGGCACCACAGGGCACCGTCAGGGCCACAGCTATGCTGACGCACATTGCAAACAATCACCACTTCCTGTTCATATGACCTAAGAAAAACAGGATGTTGAGAGGCGTTTATCTGAATGAATGAGATAAGCAAGTCCTGTGACATTCTATGCAGCTTGAGTGCTTGGCAGCAAGGATGCCAGAGAGAGGCTGGGGGTGCACCCTTGGTCGGGGGGACTGTGTCCAACATCCCAGGAGACCTACACAGGAACTCCAGGATGAGAGGCCAGGCGGTTCTCATGCCCCAGAAGCCTGGCCAGCCCTCCTTGCAGCTCACCTTCTCCGGAGTCGACTTTTGGGGGACCCATTCGTCTACACCCATCATGGCTTCTGGCCCCACGCCTCCCCATCCCAGGACTGGGGCCAAGTTAGGCCCAAGTTCACAGTTAATGCTGCACAGATATCCTGGGCCTGCTGGCAGGAGCCAGACCATAGGTCTGGATGATAAGACAGGTGGCTGCTAGCCGGAGCTTGACCCCCAACACCATGCCGTACTGTCCAGGTGCAGCAGCATGGTAGGGGAGGGACAGCAGCTTTCCCAAGAAGACAGAATTACAGAAAAAAGCTCAAGAACAGCCAGTTTGCAGATTCCCCAAAAGTGCCCAGCACAGGAGCCCAGCAACACAGGTCCTCACATGTGCTCAGAAGGGACCCTGGAGATTTGGGACCACTTGGGAGCACCCAGGGTGGCCCTGCCCACTGACATCCCCCCAGTGGTTCTCTTGCTTGCACCAACAGGACACAGAGATGTGGGGAACATTCTGTAATGGACAATGGGAGGATGGGGGGTGGCAGGGATGCTGAGAGGTAGAACAACAGACACTACTTCACCCACAATACTCTGAACTGACCCAGCCACAGGTACTTTAAGAACTTCATGCACCCCAGAAAGGGACTCAGCTGTCAGACCATCTCCTGAAGTTCCCTCCATTCTCATCACACAGCTGGGGGTGTTGGTCCATGGGTTTGGGACAGGAAGTGCTCAGATACTGGCTGGGTATAGCTGCGCTGGACGCCTGGCTTCTTTGAAGGGTCCTACAGCACATGGGCTCCAAGAAGCTACCCAGAGTTGGGACCTAATCCCTTGCTGGACTGCTCTCTGGGTCTATGCTGACACTGGATGACACTGATGGTCTGCAGGCAGCTCTGCCCCTGGGAGGACTGAGGGCCCAGTGTAAAGACCACCTCCCAGACCTGATGCAGTGCTCTGCAATCAGGGCTACCTACTGGCCACCTCAGTGCCCGAAAGCCTACCCCACCTGTGGACAGAGTTGTGGGAGGGCAATGGAAGGGTCTGAAAAAGGGCCACACCGTGAGCCCCCTGGAGACCCACAATACCTTCCAGTGTCCCATGCCTCCACACCCTCAGAGAGCTGCAGCCTAGAGTGGCCCTCCAGTCTCCCTGGCCAGAGGGTGTACAGGGCCTCTGAGGAGGCAAGGTCTGGCCCGGTCTGCAGCCCAACCAGTTTCTGTGGTCTCAGATTCCATCCACATCTGCCATGCTGAGCCCAGTTGGAGGCAGAGCAGCAGGTAAGCAGATGGGCATGCCCATGACGCCCACCCAGCAGCAACCATGTCCACCTATCCAGGTACTCTAAAGCAGCAGCCCTCTTCTGGGAAGTGGGGTGATCAGGCCCCTGGGTGGCTGGTGGCTAGAGCCCAGCATAGCATCCATAGCAGGAGCCTCTACTTTCTTCCACACACCAGGACACAGGCACCACTGCTGGACAATTGTCACACACCCACTCACTTCCACACCTGCTGGGTGTCCTCATCCACAGAGCCAAAAGCCTGAGGCAGAGTCTGCCTGTGCTCAGTATAGCACTAGCCTGAGCCACCTGCTACTGCAGCACCCATGGAGGTCAGACGCCACCATTTGCTTTCATGGCTGTTCACACAGTGGGGCAAAGAAGGAAAAGGAAGTGTGAGTGCCGGAGAGGAAGAGGTGCAGCAGGAAATCCATGGCTTCCTGGATGGACATGAGCAGTGCAGGAGTGGGACACCAAAACCTCAGGTCCCAGATTAGAGCAGACAGCTGTGCATGCTGACCAGCCATGGGGCTGCCCACCATGATGCATCAGAGGGGCTGACCAGACCCTGATATGGAGGTGCCTGCTAGGGGGCCAAACTGGCTGGAGGCCTCTCAGCTGGGCTTGTCACCATTTGCAGGGCAGTTGGCCAAGACAGCACAAGGTGGGCAAGGGCCCTGTGTGTTCAAGAGCCCCAGATGCCTGGTGAGCACTGAACATGCCAGCACTTGGCTCAGGTGATGAAAAGGACAAGCTGCAGGCCCTGCATGCTGTGGGTACAAGAAAATGAGTTGCTCCATATTACTGATGGGAAGCAGGGTGCCACGTACCTTGGACAGACATGGTTTATGTCCTGCACAAGTGGGCAGGTCCACCTGAAAATGACCTCAGAGTAGGATGGGGGCAGGTGAGCAGAAAGGTGATGGAGGTCCTGTTCTACCATTCTCAGGGCCAGGTATGATATCCAGGTGGGACATCAAGTGCCAGCCTTATCTCAATGTAGGGCCCAGGGGTGGCAGACATGCCAGCCAGGGTGAGTCCCAGACAGGGAGGGTCCTGAAGAAGCCCTTGTCCTCCAGGAGCACCACCTGGACTCCCAATCTCCCAGGCCCTGTGTCTTCTCTTCTGTCTCTGACCTGTCCTGACAGTCAGGGCCAACTCCCCAGATGCAATAATCCTGTTTAGAGCTTTCCATGAGAAACATTTGGAGGCAGCAGCTTGGGACAGACAAGGCATGCTGGGAGGCCTGTGTCAGCTTGTGGGTGGATACCAAAGAACATCTCTGCTGATCGCACAGTGCCTCAGAGCAGAAATGCTCCAGCCAGGTGCCTCTGGCAGAGCAGGACCCATGCCCATCCACAGGGAAGAACAAGGACACCTGGCACTGGAGGGCAGCTACTTGGTGCCTAAGTTCTGGGTAGAATGAGAAACCAACCCATGTTAAGCTACTTTGGGTGCCTGGCCAGGCCCTATTTCTGAGACATGTCCTGTTCCCTCCTCTTCAACCTTCTTGGCAGAATAGATAAAACACTTTTGTGTCAGCCCAGAGCCACAGAGATGGGAGACTGACTGTGGGATGCAGTGCCAGACTCAGGAAAGCTCATCCTTCCTACAGCCCACTTGTACCCCTCATCTCCCCACTGCTCTGGGTCTGGATCTCCATTCTCTTGCTTGGGTGATTGTGTGGTCACCCTAACCCACACAATTGTGACTGTGGGTCAGCATAATTCATTGGGCAAGCAGCTGTTCTATAGCCACTGTGGGGTGTGGGGTTGGGCACTACTAGGGATGGTATAGCCTAACCACATAGGCCTGTGGGGACCCTTCTTGGGGCAGAGGAAGCATCTACTTTGTCCTAGGTCACCAAGGCCACCTACAGACAAAAAGCCACAGCTCCAGAATGGTCCCTACCCAAGACCCTGCAGGAGGCAGACTTCTGGTCCACAGCCTGTCCTGGAGTGTGGCGAGTAGCCTGGATGGGGCTTGGGCTGGTCCTGTGCTCTGGGTATTCTGCTCCTTCCCAGCCTTGACTCCCCTAGCCCTGCTCAGTCCTCACCTTGTATGGTCTTACATTGGTGGAGTGGAAGTGGGAGTGGGGAGGGGGCTTCAGCAGAGTAGATGAGGGCCCAGCTTAGAGGGAAAGTCAAGCACAGAACTGGCATCTGAACACCCTTAAACCTGGGGCTGTATATTCCCCAGCCAGGATACCTCCCAAAGGGAAACCTTTTTCTTATTTCAACCTGAAAACTCTGGGGTGGCAGGTGTGATTCTTAACTCAAAGGGAGCTTGTGAGGAACACCGTAGAATGCTAGAGAAGCCTGTGGGTGTACTGAACGTGCTGGAGATGGATGCTGGCTTCACACCTGGGCCACCGAGGGCATCAGCTCCATGAGAAGCAGCAGCCCTTATGCCCTTCCAAGGACCTCAGTGTGGCCAACACTAGCTACCCTCCCACCCCCTGGGGTCCTATTGAGGACCACACATGGAGCCACCCCATCTAGGGCCCAAGATAACAGCTTGTTCTGAGGTCCCCACAATCACCAAGATCTTGGCTGTGCCTCCTGAGTTCATAGGGTCCCAGGCTGTGGTCACTGAGAAAGGCCTTCAGGTGGAGGCCCACAGGACTGGCAGGCAGCCCCTTGTTACCTGCATGCAGACACAATGTCATCACCACACTGACTTACAAGTGTCCTGAGCACACAGCCACCAAATGAGGCCCCAGTTGGACTCAGTCACCATCATGGTGCAGGCTCACCTATGACACAGCATGGGCCAGCAGCGGGGTCACCAGCAGGGTCTCCTGGATCCATCTTGTGACCAGCAGCTCCAGGAAGAAGGAACTAGGAGAAAAGGACAATCAGGTCTCTGGCTCCACACAGGCTGGGGAGTTCCACGCAATCCTGGGATGTAGCTGCAGAGTACCCCAAGAAGTGGGGCCAATCAGGCCCCTGAGTACAAGTGGACGGCCTTCCTGCTCACAGCCAGGATATTGAGCCACCAAGACTGGATCCTAAATTCCAGTCCTGGCCCAACACTGTCACTCTTCTAGTAGGGCAATGGCAGGAGGGGCCCGGGATCTGACCATACCCCACACAGTGTCCAGAGCCCAGGAGAGGATCAAGGGGCCAACAGACCCTGTCACCACAGATCACCACCAACCTGTTCTGACCCTTCAGCCTCTGGCTTCTGCAACAGCGTTGCCACACTGAGAGGAAGCCCCTCTCTCAGGGGATGAGGCACCCTCACTGCAAGCCAGCACCCTGGGCCACCAGCTTCACTTCTGAGGGTCTCGGCTTTCCCTATGGGACCCAGGCACACTCACAGCACTGACTTGAGAGGTGGACCCACTGAGCTCTAAATCCAGGCTGGCAAAGAGCCATTATCATTCCTAGGCCACAGGGTTAGTGCAAAGGTTTTCGTACAAGTCACTTTTCTGTATTTGTGGAAGTCACCTCCTTTTCCTCCTTTAATCTGTTCACATGAGGCCATATAAAAAGGTACTCTGTAAATGCTGCTTCAGGCTGTCTCACACACAGTGACACACACAAAGTTCACTGTGGAATTCTGGATCCTGACAGGCACAGAGCAGGGAGAAGCTTTCCATTTCCTGCCTGGGGCAATCACTGCTGCAGCAGTGTCTTCAGACACTGAGGTACCCTTCCCTGCAGGGACACACTGCATGACTCCCAGGGTGCCTACAACCACGGGCTCACCTACAGATCTAATGCCTTGTCCATCTCAACTAAGCATTTATCACACACCATGCTGCAACTTTCGCAGTGTGAGGTGTTCCAGCAGAACCAGTAAGAATTTTTTTTCCTTCTTCCAAATTTCATAGAAGATGCGTTCTTACTGTGGCTCTTAGCAACCTCAGCATACAACGCTTTACTTTCCTCATTAAGTTGTGAACGCCCACCTTTTCACTTAAAGGAAGAACATTACCCTTCTCTTTGGCACATGGGAATCACCACCATCATCACTCTTGCACTTTGGGGAGCTTATTAAGAAGTCAAACATGGGTTACTGGAGTGAGCTCTGAGACACCGCTCCTGTTGTGTTACGTGACAGCCCGGCAAGGGACTAAGGCCAACAAGTGGGTAACACATGCAGCGTGGACACGCTGGAGAAAGGGCGGGCCCACACCCCAGCGGAATCAAGCAGCATTAGCAAGTTTCATCCTCTACTCAGAATGATACGCGACTTAAAAGTTTTGAAACGTTTATTTTTAGAATTTATTAGTTAATATTTTTGGACCAACTTGACCACTGAAGCTGCAGAAAACAAAACTTTGGATAAGGATAGCACCATATTTACATTCATTTTTCTAAATAATACACATGGTCATTTCTTGGGTTTTCAGTTTACATGTTATCAACCAACTTCCCCAATGCAAGGTGAGAATTTATCTGTCATTCTGAGACAGATTAGAGGAGCCCACCTCTCCCTGGAGCACTGAGGCAGGAGTTAAGCATTATTAAATACTGTTGAACTTAGTAAGTCCCTGTTGTAAGCACCCTCTTCAACATTTATTTTTCCTTTAAATAAGCTAAGGTGCTGGGGTCTAGGGTGACTTGACTCCCTAATTGACAGCTGTTAGACCCTCCCTGGTGCCCTGGGTGCCTTGAGTGAAGGACCATCAGTGAAGCAGTCAGCAGATTGCCCTCATGCCAGCACTGGCTGCTTTGAACACTCCACAGGCACCTTGAGAAAGCTACACGACAACCACAGCTACTTGGTGCCAAAACACAACTCTGCCTCCTGAAGGCTCTGTCCTAGCCACAACTGTTTCAAATAGTTTGCACCTGACTTATTGTTCTCACAAGCCTCTATGACTCTAGATGACTCTGTACCCATTTCTACAGAGGCCAGAGAGGGAGCACTTTACCTTATGGCCCAGCAGAAGGCCTGTGACTGGTGACACTCAGTCCTTCATTTCCATGAAAGATTGCATGATGGTACAGTCACCCTTGCCACATCCCCTTTTTAGCTACATAAGCAGGCCATTCAGCTCACTTTGTAAGCCAGTCCAGATAAGCCTTCCTGTGCTGCCTCCTGGTGATGCAACATTAGGCCCAATAAGAGGCTTCTCTTGAGTGGTCTTTTCTTCCTTACTTTTTATTTTCATTATTAATAGAGTGGGCTAAACTCTAACATGAAGGAACAGGACAGGAGAAGCAGAAGCAGAAGTAGAACATCAGCCACTGTCCCAGGGACAACATCAGCAGTAGCAACAAGAGACAACTGAACAGTTCCAGTGAGAGGCTGGGGCAGAAATGATGGGGTGGGGGTGGGGTATAGGAGAAGAGGCAAAAGGGACGAGGAGGGCAGTAAAAAGCTGAAGATGAAAAACTGCAGGCCCTGTTGGCTGAAAGACTCCCGCCTTAAGGGCCAAGGGTCTCAACACCTTAGCCCTAAGAGCTGTAGCACTAGAAGACACCATCTGCTGCTGTTTGTTGCTGTCTTCTGCTGCTGCCCACTGCTGCTGGAAGCCAAGGATTGTAATAGCTGCCAAGTGTCAGGGCCACTGGCAGCTAAAGCACAGAGCAACTGAGCCTCCAACCTCAGTACCTAGAGCATCCAACCTCAGTACCTAGAGCCATAAGTCTTTGACTTCTAATCTTTTCTTTTTTGGTGGGACTGGGATTTGAACTCAAGGTTTAGTCTTTGGCTTCTAAACCCCAGAGCAATAGACCCCTAACTCTGAAGGCTTGGAGCTGTCAGCCTCTGGATCCACCCCAAGGCCTTGGGCACTCAAGGATGCAGGATTGCTAGCACTGGAAGAACATCTCACCTACCCATGATTCCTACCCAGGTAGAGCAACAGGACCCCAGTCAATTGAAGGGTAACATTTTTTTTTTTTTTTGGTTTGGTGGTACTGAGGTTTGAACTTGGCCTTACACTTGCTAGATAGGTGCGCTTCCACTTGACCATATCAACAGCCCTTTTTGCTTTAGCTGCTTTTTTAAATAGGGTCTTGATTTTGTGACTGAGCTGGCCTGAACCCCGATCTTCCTATGTATGCTTCCTTCACAGCTGGAATGACATCTATGTACTCCCATGCTCACTTTCTTTTTTAATTGGTTGAGATAAGGTGTGCTGTTTGTGCAGGCTAGCCTTGAACCACAATCTCTGCCTCCCACATAGCTAGGATTACAAGCATGAACCACAGTGCCCGGCATGACTGGTAACATTTGATTGGCCACCATGCATCCCATGGCCTCCTGAAAGAACTCTGTGAAGACCTTTTGCCACTCACCACTCAGGTGACACATCATGTCCTGTGGCACTGCTCTCAACTGGGCCGGTGGTGTGTCCCAAGTACTTCTCCAGACCTCTGCTCTGGTAATGGGGGATGTCTGATGCCAGACTGACCCTCCCACTACAAACAGCATAGCACTGGACATCATAATTAGGGAGTCAGCTTCTGGGCAACAGGCAGCACAGGACTGTGCCTCCTGACAGCAGGAGGCCCCAAGGGGGGCCCGGGATTCTGGCTCCTCATCTGAGGACTATCTCTCAAGACCCCAAGCAGAAGCCAGGGAAGCAGTGTATATGAAGGGCAGCACTTGGCAGGAGGACCTCGGTGGCCGGGGGTAAGAGCACTCTAGTGGGCTCAGAGCAAAGTCCTCAAGGCTCCCTGGAGCAGCTGGCCCAGGGTTGAGAATATGACACCCTAGAGTCTAGCCCACCAAGAGGATGGATATTGTCCCCAAGACAGACAGCCATGTCATGGGATCACACTGAGAGCAATGCCTGCTCATGAAGCACCCTGGCCAACCCAAAACTAAGTTCCCCAAATCCTCAGGAAGATGCTGTGAAGCATGGTCCACCAGGATGAGGAAGTTGGAGCAATGTGTCAAACCTATCGAAGATCACCCTAACAAATATCAAACATGGCCTCAACTCAGGTTATCAGCTAGAAATGGAACTCCCCACCAGAGCAAATCAATGTTCTTTGCAGGAAAATAGCAGAATCCAGAGTCTCTACAATGCATAATTCACAACATTTGGTACATAATAAAAAAAAAATCAAGAGACCTAAAAAGAAACAGCAAGATATAGCCTATAACCAAGGGGAAATGGAAAAAACATATCCTACAAAGCAGCTCCAAGGTGGTCCAGATATCAGAGTTAATAAAGACTTTAGCACAATGATTGTAAACGTGTTCAAAGGACACACAGAAAACATGTTCAAGAAGTCAAAGGAAAATACAGTTTCAATGAACACAGAGAGGGAAATGGAAAATATATGAAACTACACCAAAAAAAGAAAAAACCTAAACTGGGACTTTCAATAAAAGCACACTCACTGAAAAGCTCACTGTACTTGGCAGCAAGTTGGAGAAGAGTCAGTGAATGTGAAGACAGACCAATAGAAACCCCACACCACTCCTTCACTGCCGGGTCTGCTCCCATCATTAATGGTGCTCAGAAGCACCACAGCACTGCCCCCACACATCAAACTAGCTGCAAATCTGTCAGCACACCTTTGTGTAGGCCTTGTTGCCATCTCAATCTGCACAGCTACTGCCTGCTGTCTGCTGTTCTCTGGGACCCCTGCCCCCAGCAGTCACCTGGACTCATCTTGTCTCTGGCTTGGATCCTGCATCCTGATTTGCAAATCCTTGTCTTTGCTGGTCTGGTACTCTGGAGCTTTCTGTGTAGAACCTCAAGGAGGAACATTCAAACCACCTCACTTGTCTTTTATCACACTCTTTCCCTTCATGTAGTAGTTTTGCTGTACACGGTCCGTAGTAACCTAGTCATTTCCCACAACATGTGGCAGCAAGAACTCTCCTGTCATGTAAGGTGAGGACACACTGTCATGTGTGATGAGAA